CTCTCGCAAATTCTCGCTCCGCTATTTCCTCCGATTGAATTTCAGCACCGCTTCAGATTCTCCATCCCACTGCAATTTCTTCTTCCCTATCTCATCTCTTAAAAACCCCCACTCCTTGTAATTCGAGATTCCCTTCGAATTCGGCCCATGAAGAAAAGAAAACAAGGCTGTTGTTTGTTTGGGGGTATGGCAGAAACTGAAAAATGTTGAGATTTGATTCAAATTGTGGGCAGAAGAGGGATTAATTTTGGTGGAAAAGGCAGGTCCAGTAACTGGGTAAGAACAGATTAGGTTTTCCCAAAATCTTGGTGAATTTTCTTGGGAAACAAACAATCAGAACCGGAAAAGCGCCACCTACACGTACGCCACAATTGAGTTCCAAAATTTCTGCGAATCCTAATTCTCGCGTTTTTAGGTTATAAGCGATACCGGATTGAGATTGAAACTCTGGGTGCAAGAATCGTGGGGAGGATATTTTTGGGTGGTGGTTAATTTCCGACGGTCTCCAATTTGAATGAACAACGACTGAAAAATAGCACTCCTCTCCCTCGCATTTCGGCTCACCGCCAAATTCAAACTCCCGGACCCACCTTTTCCCTTCCTTAACCCTCTCACTTCTCTACTCAAATCCCATTTCTCAACTGATTATTATATTTATAATCAGGTTTTAATTCTCATTTATCTTTTAGCTTAAATTATTAGCTTTCTCTTCGTACTATTTATGGTATAGCTCACCAACCTCTCACTTAAACTGAACATAATTTCTCGATAATTGACATATATCTTCATCCAAAAAATTGTGAGTTTGATTCCATAATAATTGTTTGGCTCAATTGAATAAAATGAAAAGTTGATTATTACCCTTAAAATGAGCGGTTTTTCAAGAAGGAGAAAAACTATTACTTTGATATACTGAATATTAAGTACATTAGTGATATACTTCATATTAGATATATTAGTTATATTAACTATATACTTTAAAGGAAGTTATTCATTCATATATATTTGGCGTGACTCATGTACTTCATATTGGATATAACAATTATTATTTCATATTAGATAATTCAATTACCTAATGATATACTTTATGTTCGATCTATCAACTGCATAATATCAAGTATATTAGCAATACACTTCAGGTTAGGTTTATAATTATGCAGTGATAATAGCTAAAAAAGTATACACTAATGTCAATTTATTTCTTGATATTTGAGAATAATGAGGTAAATTTTGGAATAATAAATAAATAAATAAATATATATATATGATTTAAATTTTTTTTACCATTTTTGTAAAATCTAAATATGATAAATGTTTTCTAGCCCATTAAAATAACGGAAAAAAAAATTCATACGTAGCCATTAATTTTTAAGATTGTGTCAATTTATTTCTATACTTAAAAAAAATCTAATAGATTCTAGAACTTGTAATTTTGTGTCTTGTTAATTTTAATATTTTAATGTTATGGCCACCAAACACAATTCTACTTTTCATGTAATTCTTAAACAATATAGTTAGTGTGACATATAAGTGTTGAAGTCCCAAAAATTAACACCAATGACCTAATAGACATAATAGACATAAGATTGAAAGTTTAATGGTTTATAAAACATTTTACCATATAGACACTATCTTGAGAGTTTGGAGACCTATTATATATATATATATATATATATATATATATATATATATATATATATTTAGTACAATATGTGAGAGTGGAAGATCGAACCTCTTGATTAGAGATATATGTTAATGATCGTTGAACTATGTTCACAACTTAAAAGTCTAGGAAGCATGATTTAAGTTATTTAACCTGTTTGTTATTTTTTAAAAAAATGCTATTTTCTTTTTTTTTTTTGTAAAATCATAATTAGTTATATGAAAAAATTATATTTAACGTATTGGTGTCTTTTTTTTAATTATTTTTGAAATGAAGAGGACTTTGCATCAAAGAAGCTGCGAAGAAAATGACAGAGAAGGGAAGAGAACAGGGGAGGAACACTGCAGCCTGGAGAAGAAGACGGGAGGAAGAGAGAGGAGAAGATAAAAAATAATAATAATAATAATAAATAAATATAAATATAAAATTATTTAATATCGTCGCGTCATTTTTTGATTAGTCAACTAATGGTCAAATTTCAAGCACCTTTATATTTAACTAGTAAGAAACACGTTTATTGCACGTAGAATCTTGTAGTTCTAAATTAAAGTAAAACTAATAGTGTTTTTTAAGTTTATAATATTATCATTTTAAAGAAAGAAAGTGATTATATATAAATATAAATTCAAGGTATGATATTGTTGTAATAAAAGAAAATGATGAAATATTAGCATGGAAAGTAAGTACAAATTTGAAGTGTAAGAAATATGAAAAAGCACCGACGTACAAGTTTTTTTTTTTTTAATGAATGAACGTTCTTAATTTACCTCTAATTTTCTTGATTATAAATTATTATATTACATTTTATCTTTGTTAAATTGTGTGACGTTAAATCATTGAGTTTGTTCATTCTAGAATGAAAAAGAAAGGTAAGAGTGAGAGAAAGAGTAAACCCTAAAAGGTCCAACCTGATGATATTGAGAGGGATAAAAATTATTTGTTTACCCTAACTTTGTAAAAATAATTACAACATTTCACATATATGAATCAAAAGCATCACTTTAAAAAATAAATAAATAAAAATCAAACTCATAAGCATTYTTATTATCCAAATTATGAGAATAATAGAATTTTGCTTTATCTCGATTCCATCGACCACCATCTTGACACATCGTACTCTAGAATTTCTTTCAATCTGAACAATGATAAATTTGGGAAAGTGAACCGATGCCATCAACTCAGCTCTAATTTGGGTTCTCTTCACTATCAATTCTCCTCTCGATCACTCATATGTACATTGTTGTTGTCGTTGCTAAAGCAAGAGAGTAATCTTCATACCTTCATACCACTTGGAAAATTTTCCACTTTGTTCCATCCASCACCTCTTGATTTTTGGTTGGCATGAGAAAGAGAGGACACATATTTATATATGGATTGGAAGGGGATTAGGAAGATGAAAGGATTAGGAGAGGGTATGTGATAATTGGAAGGGGGTTAGGAAGATGAAAGGATTGGGGCAGGGTATGTGGCAGATGAAAGGAGTTAAAAAAAAATCAATGAGAAAGATAAAATTAATGAAAGAATAATTAATAGAGAGAAATTAGTAAGAGAAAATAGGGAAATTTAGAGGGATGAGATCGTGAGAGAAGAGATAAATTGAGAGAGAAAGTTTGTATTTAAATGACACAATTGCCATCAAAAGAAAAGTGAAGAGAGTTATAATGAAAGGACAAAAATGATATATAAAAGTTTCTCCTCGTCCAGATTACATCTAAATTAAGAAATTCATCGCATTAAAAGGATATTTTAAGTAGCCCTACCAGTGTCCAAGATACTTATCAAATAGTTGGGGAAGCGACGTCATATTAAAGATTTCTCCTAATATTTTTGTAAATGGCTTTATGCTGACGTGACTTGTTATAATAGATGGAAAACTTGCCTTTTATGCTGATGCGGATACTTTTTCCTATCTTTTAAACGCGTCATCAATTTTAAATTAATTGCAAACTTATATCTTTTTTTTCCCCAAATTCGATCCAGAGATGTTTAATGTTTTTAGGTTAAATTACAAATTTAATCATCGAAATTATAAAATTTGTGTCTAATAGGTCATTGAACTTTAAAAGATATTTAATAGATCATAACTTTCAATTTTTTTGTCTAATAAATCCAACTAAATAGATGAATTTTAAAAAATATCGAATATGTCTAAAATCTATTAGATATGAATGGGAAGTTCATGAAACTATTAGACGCAAAATTTAGAGACATATGAGATAGTACTTTTTAAAATTTAAAAAGGCACAAAATTTTAAGTTAAATGATTTATTAGAGAGTTTATATATTATAAAAAAAAAAGCTAAAGGTTTATGCACCAAATTTATAATTTAACTTTTTTCTTACAAGGTTTAATTTTTTTTAAGAAAAAGTATAGCATTACAAATATGAAGTTCGGGATATAAACTTTGGACCTAAAAAATAATTACTAATGTCTTAATTAATTGAACTATAATTAATTATTTATAATTAAACCACCATGAAACGATTAAGCAAAGAAGGGAGCTTCGCCTTAATTGATGAAAAGAAAATAATAAATAAAGGGAAAATATTATATTAAAAAGTTTAAAATTAAAAAGAATTCCCTTTAATTTGAGTGGTAAGTACAAAACAATTACATAAAATACTATAGAACGATTCATACTTCATAGCTGGTGTTTGTTGATCAATATGATCTGTTTTCCAGCCGAGCCAGCCACCCAACTGTTCCGACATGTCGATTTCAAGAATCGACAGTTTAAGGAAACGGTAACTTCTAAAGACTAAACTCGTTGTTTTGCAAAAGTAGGTCAAAATGGAGAGGCAGTCAATAATAGTGGCAAATAATGCGACGACGTTTCCTCGTGGGGTTGAGTTTCTTGAATATTAAGGTTCTTACCGAACCCCATTAACAGTCGATTTAAAGATCATAGTGTTTGAATTTCCTTATCTAAAAAAGGGTCAACAACATTTAATTAATTTAAAAAAAAAGAAAATGAGAAAATGTTAAATTGGTCAATTCCCTTGTTATGTCTATATATTATTACAATATAACAATAACAGTGGGCGCCATGTCTAACTTTTTTGTTTCCTTCTAAAACAAAAATTGAAAATTCAACGCCAATATAATTGTTCAACTAGTTAAGATATATATTATTAAATAAAAAGTCGGATAATATTCGCATCTCCGTCCATAAAACGTTTACCATTGAATTTGTCTAAACAGGATTACTACTAATTCCAAACTCCACAAAATATTTTCTTTCCTTTGAATGCCCAACAAAGTCAACCGGTTGAGAAGATTAGTCAAGACTAATGCAATGGGTTTGGTGTATTTACAATAAGGTTAAATGTGTATGGAGTTTGGTGTATTTACAATAAGGTTAAATGTGTATGGAGTTGGTTTTGATTTTGTCTCTAATTTTTAAAACGTTTTAATTTGATTTTTTGTATGTATTGATTTTTTGTCCATAAGTCATTAGTTTAATTAATTACTATCACCAAACATGAAATAAATTAACAAAATAATGATACTGTATCAAAATACACTATATTACCAACTTCAACATAACTTAAGACATCTATACCTCTCATCAAAAAGTCTAGGTTCGATTCCCCACCCAATATTGTATTTAAAAAAATAACAATTTATTAGTTTAGTTTAAAATAATCAGTATATTTTAATTTAATGAAACAAACATATAAATCCCTCCCAAAATTAAAAGCTTGAAATGAAAATTTACCTTATAACTTGTATGTCAACTCTAAAATTCTTTTAAAAAACTTTCGATTCTAAAAGATCTAGGGAGACAAATTGAAAATATCTTCAAAATAGGTTGATTTTTCCATATAATATTTGTAGGACAATTAAAATTAGAGTCAATTGTGTATCTCCTTCCCTACTCCATCGTTTGTTTAGCCCATAAAAAAAAATATATCACTATTCTTTTAATCTTTTAACGCTTAATCCAAAGTTTTAAAATATTAAGGACTATATCATTATTCTTTTAACCTATGGTTTTCTATCTATAAAAATTAAGCTCAAAAGCATTACCCTTATAAAATTTTGAAAACAACATGTGCAGTTTTTAAATTTTTGGTTTTTACTTTTGAAATTTGTCGAAGAATTCAAATAGAGAGGGTGAAAATTTTAGTAATGAAATTATTAAAAAAAGAAACACATAATTTTTAATTTATGAAAAGGCAGCTAAATTATATATATTTAAGGTTTTGAATAGTAAGATTAGACAGGAGGGGATGGAAGGTCAAAAGGGTAAAGTTGGAAAGATGGAATGGAATAGGGCCAAATTGTGTTGGTTGGGGATTGAATTTTGATTTATTAGCATTGGGATTTAGGAACAGGAATTAGAATACGCGGCTTTGCCTCCCTTTTTCTCTCGGCTTCCCCGTCCACCTGGCCACTTCACTTTTCATTATTACCGCTTCGGCTTCGGGTTTAAAAATCCCGCCCCCAACTGCAACTGCAACTGCCCTCTTCAAACCAATCCCTCAATTAATTCATTTCTTCAATCCAATTCCACCCCATCTTTAATCTCTCTTTTTCCCACGGATGCGCGACCCGGTTGAGGAAGTTGTGAGCCTCGAAATGGATCCACCGGAGGAAATTTATGGCGCCGATGACTATGATGATTTTTCTTTTGTTTGTTCAAATCCGGACGGCTCTCCGATCAGTGCAGAAGATGCCTTCGTTAACGGCCAGATTCGCCCCGTCTTCCCCGTGTTCGACCAACGCCTTCTGTTTTCCCAGACGAAGGCGGAGGAAACGACGTCGCTTCCGCTTCCGGTTCGAGTTCGACCCCAGGCCCAGTTGAAGAAGCTATTCATGGAAGACGAAGAACTTCGTTCGGATACTCAGGATTTGACACGTGTTGCGCCGGAAATATACTGTGAGTGGTCCCCGCGGAAGGTGGGGGAGGCGGCGCCGGAGCTGGGGAAGAAGAGCTACTCCACGGGGTTCTCGAAGCTGTGGAGGTTCGGGGACAGGATTCGCCGGAGCAGCAGCGACGGCAAGGAGGCGTTCGTGTTCTTGAGAAGTCCGTCGTCGGGCGGCGGCGGCGAGGCGAAGTTAAAGGCGAATGGAGGGTCGGGGTCGGGGTCAGGGTCAGGGAGGCGGACGAAAGGGGAAAGGGAAACGGCGTCGTGTTATCACGAGCGGCATTACGCGAGAAATAGAGCGGAGAACGAGATGAATAAACGGAAATCGTATCTGCCGTATAGGAGTAATCTCGTGGGCTTCTTCACCAGCGTTAATAATAATAATAATAATAATAATAATAATGGTCTCACAAGAAATCCTCACTCCTTCTGAGTTCTGCAGCAGCATTGGAATTGTTTTTTTTTTTTTTTAACTTATTTGTTGATTTATTAACTCATTGTCTATTTTATTCATTAATTTATTTCTTGTTTATCTTTTGAGATGGGATATTTCTGAAAGAAACCTCAATCTTTAGCCGGACTAATATGAAAGAAATTATTGCAATTACCCATAATGTGGCGAATTTTCTTACACAGTTGGATTAACAAGACATAAAATACTAGTATTCAAAATTATATATATTTAATTGGGATATATGAAAATTTTTTAATTCACACCCATTGTTATTAAATGAGGTAGCTACATTGTGACAACATCATTTAATAATTCTTTAGTATAAATAAAAAGCTATATGATAATTAAGAATAAAAATTATATATTTAATTTTACTTATAAGAACTAGTAAAAAATAATACTTTTTTCCATTGGAGATTGAAGCTTCAGTTTTAATTAAATAGATATAATCAAATTAAGAAATATGATACAAGTTTCATGTTTTAATGAATTAGAAATTAATTCCCTTTCAGATAAGTTTTCCTAATTTGTTAGGGATTTATTTATTAGAGATAATTTCTATTTAAAAGATGATAAATTAATCCCTATTATAAATAGAGGAGCTAACATTAATCACCCTATTCCTGTGAGTCTCCTTCCCTAGGAATTTTTGTTTTCCAGGTAAAGGTTGATTGATGTTTTTGATTCTTTGTAGATTGTGAGATCTAAATGAATTTCAGCTGTTCTTTATTTTCTTTATATTTCCATATTTTATGTGATTAACCCAAACTATTGCTTTTTATTAATTTATTGACACTCAATTATTAATATTACATTTTGTCATTTAGAATTTTGGATTCGTAATTGTTGTAAATATTTCAATAGCATAATTGATTACCACCCATTTCTTTAATTATATTATGAAAGCTATGTAATCAGTCAATCAAACGTTTGGTATTTTTTTAATTATATTTTGGGTTGTTTGTTGACAAGGAAAATAATTAAAGGTAGATTACTTGATTATCCAATACATAGGTTACGTTGTTAATTAGGACTTTCCAACAACCCTAACCAATTTAGGATAATTAAACCTTAAATATATTCTTGGCTGGATCCTTAATTATGAATGTTGTTTAATTTTATCCCTTTTTTAATTCTTATCTACTCTTATTAATTTCTTGCAATAATTATTCTAAAAGAAAAAACAAAAATCTTTCAATAATTTTTTAAAAGCTCTCCAGACTTGAAAATAACATATTCTTTTTTTTTTTTTAATTATTGTTATTGGTTGGATTGTAAAGTTTTAAGAGGCGTGAATTTGGTTGAAATAAGTTGAAGAAATGTGGAACATGGAATTCTAATCCGCAGTGAGGAATTCTCACCTCACCCATCGCTTTCCTTGAATTTCCCTATCCCCAAATTGTCTTCTAAATTCTTTCAGTTGGGCGTTGGCCCCCATTTTCCTCCATCCCTATTCCCTTCTCTTTTATTAGGGTTTTCACTTTTCAGCGTCGAATTTATCATCATAGCATGGCCCCCAGTTTCAAGAATTGTATGCTCCTCTGCTGCACACCCAAGGTTTCGGTAAGTTAGCTTAACCTAATTACGATAATCTCTCTACCCTGCCCTTAATTTACTTTTGACCACGATCAACTTATGTAACATGATACTTAGCTCCATGAATTTGTAAGCATTTAAAAAAATAATTAAATTATCTGTAAGAGTAAAGTTTCTAACTATTTAAAAAGTTGATTGAATTTATTTTAGTTTTTCTTTTCTAAATAGTTTAATTCTTTTTCTAAATTTATGTCAATATAAAAAGAAGGTATTTATGTGAATGTGTACTTTCAAATAGAATATACAATTTGAAATTTTACAAAAATTAGTATAGTCCAAATCAAACTTAAACTCAAATGTGAAATAAAATACATTAAGAACCGTTAAATTTATGATATTTTTTAACAAATATTTCAATATTTTTTAAAATACAGATTAATTTTATGTCGTAATTTATGTATAAAAGATTAAAATGTAAAAATTTTGCTAATGGTTAAAAATTCCCTCGTGATGCCTAGCCAAAAGATATACTCAAGTATTGTTCCCTTTAAAAAAATGAATCTATTGTACTTGATAATTTAGGCCCATGGATAAGGGCTTGGCTGTTGATCGTGGTCCCATCATTTGAGTTTTTTTTTTTCTTTTTTAATTCTCAGTATTTGATATATTCAACTGATAAGTTTGGACCTCTCCTTTGTCTAGATGGTTAGGCTCTCTTTGTTCTGTTGTTGCCCAATGAAACTTGCCCTTTAATGTAATCATTCTTTTTTTCCTCAAAAATAAATTATTTCTTGAAGTCACAACTTTTTTTTTAATTAATTATAACCCAAAAAAGTAGACCAATTAAGGGATATGAAAATAAGACTTGTAAAATTAAATATTAGGTTACTGAAAACTTTATGACTTTTTTACCTGTATTTTAGAAAAATATTAGTGAGACTATGAGAAGTTATTATTCAATTAGTTATCTTATTTATATTTCTAGAATTTATATCAGATTTCAAAAAATAAAGCTAAGAACACTTTTCCTATATATAAAAAATAAAACCAAATGTTTCTTAAAAACAAAATAGTTGAATAGGCTCTACATTCATTAGTCATAACTTTGAAATGTCTACATCTAATACCTGGCATTAAGTATATAGTTTTTTATATAACTTATTTTTAGTACATTTTGGAATTCGAACTCACGATCTTTTGGTAAGAAATAAGTATTTTAACCAATTGAAATAGGCTCAAGTTAGCTATAGTTTTTAATATAATAATATAATAACCAATTCGGTGAAGCGACACATTTGATTTCTTTTTAATTATTTTATACCAGACAAGATCCAAATATAATTCTCAATCATTGACCATTATAAGGATTAAACATTAAAGCTACAGTTAATAAAAATGATAATTTAAATATATGAATATACAGTAACTGCAAAGTGGGTAAGTTAAATATAGTTAATCCAGTGGTGTAACATATCTCGAAGTTTTGAATAACGAGAAGAAAAAAAAAGTTTGGATTGCTCTAGCATTTAATATATATCAGAGATAGATCTTGAAATGGATCAGAAACTAAATTTAAAATTAAAAAAAGTTATGATGTTCTTGCTATAATTGGTGTTTATTATTTTATTTTAATTGCTCATTGATCTTCTATCTACGATTTTTTTTCTTAATTTGCATGTCTTGCGCCTTACACTCCCCCCATATCCTCAATATTTTTTTCCTATTACATTCTCATACATGTGGCTAATTACCAAATTCATCCTATATTATTTTCAATTTGATCCCATATTTTTAAAAGTTTCACTTTAGTCCACAAATTATATCCAACGCATTTTTACCCATTCAAAATCACTAAGTTTTTTTTTTTAACTTGTCCTAGACCTTAACACAATTAATCAAATACGAATTCACAATCTCTTAGTTAGAGATGTTTATCAATTAAGTTATGCTCACATTGACAATAGAAACATAAATTGATTATTACCAATTAATTTTGAGTACCATAATCTAATATTTTTAAAGCTTAGTCAAATTATAAACATGAAATTGAAGGTACATTGATGATTTCACATTCTTATTATTATAACAAGACTATAATAATTAAAATAAAATCAATGCATTAACACCTTCCATTTTTCTTCTTCTTTTGTAAAGGTCTCCTGTCCCCAACACATTGTGGCTTTTCCATTACCCTGACCCCTTGCAAAAAAGTAGAGCTAAATTTGAGGAATTCAAAAAGGGCCCCATATGTTTGACAAATTTAGGAATTCTCATATAAAATCAAAGAAGTTGGTTTTGACCCCAGATTCCCCAATGGTAATAATAATTCACAATACCCATGCCTCCCTTTTACTAACTAATAAAAATAATTGCATCTGTTTTCTTTTCTCACATGGTTCTAATTTTTCCAAAGAAAAAAAAATTACATTTTAATTTATGATCACATTTCACAATGTGTGGCCACGTGGCGGTCATTGAACGGGTATATTAGTTGACTCGTCAACCCAGGCCACCGGCATGGACGTTGACCCCTCTCCACCACTTTCTTCTTTCTTTCCACTTTTCCTCCATCAATCATTTTGCATCCAAACAGTGCTCACCACCTCACATTTTTTCTAATCACAGCCGTCCATCCAAATTCCTTCTCCAAATACACGGCTGTGATGATCTTCACCTACCCAATCAGCCATCCTTTAATTTTCATTCCCACCATTAAATTTATCACACACAAACACACCCATCAAAATCACATATTTCCCTTTTGCAATTTGGACAGTTTTAGAAATTCCAATTTCTTATTAGTTTCTTTTTCATTGTTTCATTTTGTAAATTATTTAATTTTTGTCAACTAATTACGCATAATTACATGCCATTAATAGTATATTAGGATCAAGGATATGACGCGTAGTGTATAATTAAATTTTATGCGAGAAAGCCAACCGGGAGACCTAGAAAAAATAAATAAAAAGTGAAGGGTCTTTCCAACGTCATTTTCCCATTATCTAATCGTGGAAGGAAAAAAAAAAAGAAAAGAAAAAGAAATTTCACGCTCTAATTAAGAAAATGCCAAGTGGGAAAATTAATTAAATTTTATTCATTAATATATTTGGTTGGTTCTATTATATATATTGGACTGCTCTTGCCCAGTATGGTGTATGGTTTATAAGCTTGCTCATCAATTCTTCTTTCCAACAACATTAACCTGAGAACTGAGACGCAGAGGTCTGATTTTGATTCTCTAATTTCTTCATCCATTTTTTTTTTGTTTTTTAATTTATATATATTCTGGGTTACGTTCTTCCGATCCTCCAGGAGCTCGGTCGAAATTTTGCCATCTGTTGCATGGTTCTATTATTAGGATTCGCTAAATTGTTGATCTCTGTTTTGAGTGTTGTTTGAATGTAGAAATAATCATTTGATTTGATTTGCTCCACCCATCTCTCTTCTTTGTCTGTGTTTTGTGTTTTGTTTTTTTAATTTGGGTTTTGGGTATTTGAAATTATAATTTGGGGACTGATTTGGAATAATCAGGAAGACATGGCGCAAGAGTCGTACGAGGAAGCCATTGCCGGACTCAAGAAGCTTCTCAGGTACACGATCATGGAGATCATCCCTCTCTTTTTTTTTTTTAAATAAAGCCACCGCAAATCGACGCGGTTCGGGCGGCGCCCACCACGTACGACCGACCCGATTCCCCCTCTGACACCCGAATTGATTGCAAAAGAGGGTTTCGTAACGGTTTCCGTTTTGTCTGGCGTCATGCAGCGAGAAAGCTGACCTTCAGGACGCCGCCGCCGCGAAGATCCGGCAGATAACCGCCGAGTTGTCGGCGACCACCGCCGGTTCAGATAGCTTCGACCCAGTGGATAGGATCAAAACCGGGTTCACACACTTCAAGAAATCGAAATTCGAGTACGATTACGTCCTTTTTTCTTCTTCTTCTTCCTTCTTTCTTTGTTCGAATATGCCGTATGCTCGATTCCTAATGAATCTGCCTGTCCTTATGCCATCACTCCTAATTCATTTCAAATCATAATCAATTAAAATTTAATCCGGTACAGTAATAATAATTATCAATGATAAAGAGAGTTATTTTTATTTTTGCTTCCCCAGGACGAATCCTGATTTGTTTGGTCAACTTGCGAAAGGCCAGAGCCCGAAGGTAAATATATTTAGTATTTTCACAATTTGAGAGAAAAATAGATAAAAAAAAAAAAAGCGTGGGAGCATGTAATTTGTATTTTCTTGGAGGGCCATGATAAGGGCACCACTGCAAAAATGCATTTATTGGGTTGGATAAGCTGTTGAATCAAAGAAGGTAATGGAATAATAAAAAGATAAAACAACCACTAAGAGACGTCCACGTGTAATGTGAATGGCAGTTTCTGGTATTTGCGTGTTCGGATTCCCGAGTTTGCCCTTCGCACATCCTGAATTTTCAACCGGGGGAGGCCTTCGTGGTCCGCAACATCGCCAACATGGTCCCACCATATGACAAGGTTGCCTAATCTGTCGCTGTCATATATTTTTTTTATTATTCTTATCCAATTAAATATTGTTAATTACCAATTTTGTTTTTCTAATTTTTAATTTGGCTGTTTGTAGACCAAATACTCAGGAGTGGGGGCGGCAGTTGAATATGCAATACTACACCTAAAAGTGGGTAATTTTATATTTTAAATATATATATATATATATATATATATATATATATATATATATATATATATGGATATAGGATAATAAAAATTAACAAAAAATTTAATTAATATTTTAGGTGGAGAATATTGTGGTAATCGGACATAGCTGCTGTGGTGGCATCAAAGGCCTCATGTCCATCCCAGATGATGGAACCATTTCCAGGCAAGTTCCTTTTTGTTTGGGGTTTAATAATTTATTATCTGCATCTGGTTGGTTAAACTTAAATTAATTAATTTTGTTAACTAAGAGTTGGTCTTGGTTTAATTAATTTTTTTACCCCACCACTTGTTGTAATATATAAAAGTTTGGTGGGATTTTGGAGGTGAGTTTTTTGTGGCCATGTGATTGAGGAGTCATAAACTATGATATGATATGTTGGTTTACCAACCTGCCCTTCTTGCTTCCTGGCCCCAACAAAAACAAAACAAAAGAAATAAAAGCCCTTTAAGCTTTCCACTCTGGTGGTACCATATTCTTGGAGGAACCTGTACTGTGTATATATATATGTATATAAAGTTGTCAGAAAGGGTGGAGGGACATAACTTGCAAATTTGGAACTGTTCTCTTTACAATTCAGTGCTCAATGATAAGTACACTTCATTTCCTATCCTTTTTTTTTGTCTTTACACTTCATCACTTTTTTTTTCTTTCTTTCTTTTCTTTCCGTTTTGTGGGAATTACTATTTTGAACCCACTTCTATCTCTCTAGATTCTCAAAACCTTGATAGAGAGGAGTTTACACTTCTTTCACTAAAACCCGTTTTACGTGACTCATATCATATCACATGGATTATTAATTGATGAATAACGTAGCTTATGGACAAAACTTCCCTCCTGAAGATTCAAAAGGAAGTTCTTTTTGAATTCATGCGTGGTCCAGTAACATATAAACAAATGTATTTTTTAATCTTGTATAATTTATATCTCATTCTATATGCTATGAGACCACATAAGAATTCAGGAGAAGTTTCCTCAGGAGGGAAGTTTTTTCCGTAATTTATTCTTCGACCGCCCTTTTAAATTTTAGTAGGACTATTAAATGTAATAGAAACAGACCAATAAAAATATACCACATTGTCAACGTTAATATAGTTTAACCGATTAAAACATGTGTCTTCGATCAAAAGATCATGGAAATTGAATCCCGATTCCACACATGTTGTATTTATATATTCATATATACTGGAAGCTTTTACTAAGCCATGTATAGTATTAAATAGTGTTGTTCTAAAATTACCATGGGAGAACAAAGAAGGAATCATGTGTCTTGGGATTTACTTTTGAGAAGTTCAACAAAAGTAACGGTACTATTCCTTCCATTTTCAGTGATTTCATAGAGAACTGGGTGAAAATATGCGCACCTGCCAAAACCAAGATCCAATCAGAGGGCACCGAATTGAGTTTCGAGGACAAGTGCACAAACTGCGAGAAGGTAAAATAAAATGGCCATCCCAATGAATTTATGTATAAAAAATAAACCATGCAAATTCAAGAAGTTTGTTTTCTCTCTGTTTGTTTGATTGTAATACCAATCATTTATACAATGCAGGAGGCTGTGAATGTTTCCCTTGGAAACTTGCTGTCATATCCATTTGTAAGAGAATGCGTCGTCAACAAAAAACTCTTCATAAGGGGTGCACATTACAACTTTGTCTCCGGAGCTTTCGAGCTATGGAATCTTGACTTCAAAATTACACCTTCTCTAGCTGTCTAAAAATACCATACCATACGTCTGCGACCACGATAACCAAACCCGGCCGACCGATTGTTTTCGAGTTTCTTCCTTTCTTCAACGTTGTCCCGTCTGCTGCTTCTGTGATATATTTATTATATGAGGCTAATGAACTTGTACCTTCCCCTACAATAAGAGTTTGTGTTCCCTTTCATTTTGTTTCCTTGTTTTGAAAATGTTCCCTGTAATCCGATCCCCATCACTCTTGTAACATTATAAACAATAACTTCAATGAAATGTTTTTCTTCATTCTCTTTTGGAAGTAGCTGATCAAGCTCGCTGAATTTTATTCTATACTCATTTAACCATACAAAAAAGTGAGTACAATGAGATACTTCAATTTTCAATAGTTACAGAGCCATTGCAGAGTAGTAGATGGAAAGGTTTCTCACAGATTCCCTCATGGGATTGGATGTATGACTATTTTTCCAGTGGCTCGGCTGGTTTCAACATAAGAGAAGGCCTCCACGACCTGAGAGAATGGAAAAGGTCCTTTCGGGTCCACGATCGGCTTCACCTTCCCGCTTTCTAGGTATGGGTTCAGTTTCTTTAGAACTGCTCCATCTGAAGTGACCACAAATCTGAAACCAGGAGGCGTCAACGCACCGGTTAATGCCACCACGTTGCCACCTTCTTTCACTACCTTCACTGCCTTATCACACTGCCCTGTCATTTGGGAAACACAGACTCAGAATCTCATATTAGTAGCTAAATCCCAAGATCAGCAGTGTGATAAAATCTCACCAATTGCATCGTAGACTACGTCGAATTTTTCGGGCAAATCTTCAATGTTCTCCTTGGTGTAGTCAATGGCTAAATCCACACCCAAACTCTTCAAAAACTCTAACTTTCCAGTGCTTGCAGTGGCTGCAATTTTTGAAGCCCCAAACACATGTTTCGCTATCTGCAGCAAAACCAAATCCCAGAGCGTTCCATTCCAATAAGCAAAAAGGCAGAGATAAGTTGCAGAGACAATTTACCATTCATTCAAAAGCGAGAGAAATGACCTGAATGACTAGGCTTCCAACTCCACCGGCACCATTGAGAACGAGAATCGATTTGCCAGCTGAAAAGTTGGTTCTTACGAGACCTTCATAGGCTGTTTCAATGGCCAGAGGCAATCCAGCGGCCTGAACGAAATCGATATTCTTGGGTTTTAAGGCTAATAATTTCTCCTCCACGGCTGTGTACTCTGCAAGAGAACCGAACTGTTTGGGCCCTTCAAGAGCTTTTTCATTAATGTTGCCATAAACTTCGTCCCCTTCTTTTAGCTCCCTTACCTGACTGCCCACCTTTACCACCACTCCTGCTACATCATATCCTGGAACTGTCTGCACATAATCCCATACACTTTGATTCAAAATTGCATTGCCAAATTGCTAAAAATTATTTAGTATCCAATTTACACTTATAGATTGGAAATAGTTCCTAAACACCTCTATTATTATTTAAATCCATTTTATAAACATAAATGTGTACAGTTTAGCGTGTGGTTTGTCATTATCTGCAAATTTCTTCTATAAATATCAAGGGACATAAAAATGATTGAAGACCCATATTATAAAGATTTTTTTAGAAATAAAAGTTAAAACTCGTTTATTAACCATTTTCTTCCTTTCATGACTTACTTCTAAAGATCTTTTTGTAATTCTAACTAACAATTTAAAACTAAAAAGAATAAATTTCTAAAATCATTTTATAACATTTTACTGGCATCTTAAAATCTTAAAAGTATTTAAAATGTGGAAATTTTTTGTTGATAAATCAATTTAATTTTTGAAGTTTCAACAGTTTTTATCTATTTTTGTCTCTATATCAATTCTTCTTCATTATAGCGTAACAGTCTATTTTCGTCAATGGTTGTGGAAACAGGTGAAATCACGAGACCAAAAATTATTTAAATCATTTTATGAAAACAAAATGGTTTTACTAGAGGAATTCCTTGATGAACAGTGTCAACAGGGCTAGACATTACCGGCAACTGGATTCCAATATTTTCGCAGCAAACAAAGATACACACATAAAAGAGCGGGAAAAAAGAGGGTTACCGGAAGAGGAGAATCAGTGGCCTTGAACTTCCCCAGCATCCGCTTAGCATCGACAGGGTTAAGCGCAGCCGCAACGACCTTGATCAGAACCTGGTCCTCTTTCACTTCAGGCACCGAGACGCTGCTATCAAATTTCAACACATCGACGCCTCCATACTCACCGTAAACCCACGCCTTCATTTCCGATGGCACCGATATGACTTCGGATGCTACAGCGGAAGCCGGCGTCGATTGCGAACTGGCAGATACGCTCAAAGCTGGAATGCGAGAAACCGGCGAAGCCGCCGTCGCGGTGCCGTAACTGATCGTCTTCCGTTTGGTTTCCCGGAAAGCGAGGGAAAATGAGGGCCACAATTTGGAAGAGAGAGATTTGAATTGCGAAGGTGTGGATGCGAGAATCGCTTCCATTTTTCCCACTTCACAGTTTCCAGACGCTCCCACCACAGCTCTTATCTCGTTGCAAGAATCCGTACGAAGGGGCAATTATACCCTGCGGTCAGTACCACGAGTTCCTTCCTATTCCACCTCTAGATTCTCGCCAAATCATGTTTGAGCTTGCTTCCTCAAGTAGTGGAAAGGCAGTACGGCACATGCAGGGCCTACGTTTCAAAGCCCACATGATTAGTGGGCCGTGGGCCTCTATCATGTGGGCTTGTCAAGTAAAGGACAAGCCCACAGACTTGAAGCAGGCCTGTCACCCAGTTTGGTCCACCGCTAATTTCCGGGATTTTTTTTAATATTGTTTTTAATTAATCTTATTTTTAAAATAATGTTGATTTATTAGAAAAATGAAATAAAAATGCAACTTTAGAAACTTATTCAAAATGTATTGCTGTTTTAAAAAAGGGGTAAAACAGTAATATTTTTTAAAACAGCAATATTTTTTTAATAAGTTTTCAAAGTTGCATTTTTTTTTCATTTTTCTAATAAATCAACATTATTTTAAAAATAAGTTTAATTAAAAACAATATTAAAAAAACCCTAATTTCTGCCCCTCCTATCATTTAAATTTTTTTTTTACTAAAATCATCTCTTATTGACTTTTTTGTACTAAAAATAATTTGTTTTTTTTTCATGGTCATAATCATGCGTTGTCATTTCAATTCATTTTTTTTTCTTTGAGAGGATGATTTTTTTTTTAAATTAAAATTATGCTGGGAAGTTGAATTCAAATTGACAAAATATTTTGGAGAAAATTAGTTATACAAGAAAAAACATGTGCTATAAAATTATAAATTTTGTGATGGCTGGATCAGGGTGTCCCGCAGACTTCGTCACCTTCTGTAAAAGAGAGATCTTTTTTTATAATCTGCAATTAAATCGCCTCCGCTTTTAAATTGATATGCCCAACCCGCAGTTATTTGATTTCAATCCGCTGGCTTGATTTAATCTCATCTTGCAACACTAAAACCCTAGCATGAGGTGATTGAATATCTTCGAGTTTAGTCATTGTCTCTTCTCTTGATCCAATTTTTTTGTTTCATCTGTTTGTAAACGGGTCTGCTTTGGTTGGATGGAATATTTGAACTTTATTAGGGTTTAGAGGAAGGGTACTCCATTTTTGTGGATTCAGTTCAGGTAATTGTGCAGAGTATAAATCCGGGGGTTTCTGTGTATCTCTCTGTTTTCTCTAGGTTTAGGACATTGCACTTATGGATCTTCTCCAGTCATACACAGATCAAAAAGACGAGAACCATGACGGAAGCCCTAAACAGGTTACATCTTCGCCAGAAGCCTCTCCGCCCCGGCTACTTCCCTCCAAAACCTCGGCACCCAAGGTTGACGATACAATGTTAGCCCTCACGGTGGCCAACGCCAACCGGACCCTCTCGAAGCCAATAGACCCAACTCAACATATTGTTGCCTTCAACCCCACCTACGACCAGCTCTGGGCGCCCATTCAGGGTCCATCTCATCCCTATGCCAAGGATGGCATTGCGCAGGGCATGCGAAACCACAAGCTAGGGTTCGTTGAGGATGCGTCCATTGAACCATTTGTCTTCGATGAGCAGTACAACACTTTCCACAAATATGGATATGCTGCTGACCCCTCAGCTTCTGCTGGAAACAATTACATTGGCGACATGGAGGCTTTGCAGAAGAATGATGCCATCTCCGTGTATAACATCCCTCAGCACGAGCAGAAGAAGAGGAAGATCGAGAAGAAGAAGGAAATGAGTGAGAATGAGGATGTGGAAATGGATTTGAACCCGGATGAAGTTGAAAATCCAGCTAGTGATGTGTGGTTGATGAAGAATAGAAAGAGTCCATGGTCTGGGAAGAAGGAAGGTCTGCAAACTGAGCTCACTGAGGAGCAGAAGAAGTATGCGGAAGAGTATGCAAAGAAGAAAGGTGAAGAGAAAGGTGGTGAGAAGGCAGAAGTTACAGCGGATAAGAGTACTTTTCACGGTAAAGAGGAGAGGGATTATCAGGGCAGGTCTTGGATTGCACCCCCGAAGGACGCCAAGGCCACAAATGATCATTGTTATATACCCAAAAGATTGGTGCATACTTGGAGTGGGCACACAAAGGGTGTATCTGCTATTAGGTTCTTCCCCAAACATGGTCATTTGATTCTTTCAGCTGGTATGGATACCAAGGTGAAGATATGGGATGTGTTCAATTCTGGAAAATGTATGAGAACCTACATGGGTCACTCGCAGGCAGTTCGGGATATTTCATTTTGTAATGATGGGTCTAAGTTTTTGACTGCGGGATATGATAAAAAGATTAAGTATTGGGATACAGAAACAGGGCAAGTGATATCAACCTTCTCCACCGGGAAAATTCCTTATGTCGTTAAGCTTAATCCTGATGATGATAAGCAGAACATATTGTTGGCAGGGATGAGTGATAAGAAGATTGTTCAGTGGGATATGAACACGGGCCAGATTACTCAAGAGTACGATCAACATTTGGGAGCAGTGAATACCATTACATTTGTAGACAATAATAGAAGGTTTGTCACATCAAGTGATGACAAGTCCCTCCGTGTTTGGGAATTTGGGATCCCAGTTGTTATTAAGTATATTAGTGAGCCCCACATGCATTCCATGCCTTCCATTTCCGTTCACCCCAATACAAATTGGCTCGCAGCACAAAGTTTAGACAATCAAATTCTTATTTATAGCACTAGGGAGAGATTTCAGCTAAATAAGAAGAAGAGGTTTGCCGGGCACATTGTGGCTGGATATGCTTGCCAGGTCAATTTTTCACCAGATGGACGTTTTGTTATGTCGGGTGATGGTGAGGGTAAATGCTGGTTTTGGGACTGGAAAACTTGCAAGGTATTCAGAACTCTCAAGTGTCATGAAGGGGTATGCATTGGGTGTGAGTGGCATCCATTGGAGCAAAGTAAAGTAGCAACGTGTGGCTGGGATGGCCTGATAAAGTATTGGTAAGTAAATCCCTTTACCTATGAACTTTTAATGGAGGCTGTTTCTTTTACCCTTGGCCTTCAATATGACATTTTTTAAAAAAGTCCTGCAGTATGAGGGTCAAATATATGTTAAATTTGGGTTTTCTGCCGACTTATGGTGATCTTTATAACTCTTTGTATGAGATCTTCCGATTGACTTAACTCTTTAGTATTTGAATGCAATTTCTGTTATCCTCGTGCTTGTTAAATTTTGTTCAATAGACTGGCACTGAGTAGTTGGCTTATAGATTTCAGGTCATTTTCTGTTGTTTTTAAGAACTACCTTTAGATGTCATAGGACTTGAATACGAATTAAGCTCAGTGTGCTGATGGCATGCTGCTTTAATTTAGTGAATCCATTGCTCCACAATTATTGTAGATCCCATATTGTGCTAGAATACCTTAATGCCTTTTCTCAATTGAATAGGTGAGAACCTAATGATAGTTTTGCCTATGTGGTAATGACTATATCTCAGATATAAAAACCTTATGGTTTTGCCGGCTATCGCAATTGTTTTCTTGGCACTTTGTAATGTTCCTTCTGTCTTTCGACTCTATGTGGTTCTTGGATTTTGTTCATGCTGATAAATTTAGATTCCTCGATATTAAAGTTTGATCTACCATTTCACATTTTCGACTGTACTGTAGCTGTAGGTAAGTATGGATCATTCTGGATGGTTCTATCTGTCAATTTAAGTAGCCATGGCTATTTCTATTCTTCACCTTCTTGTAATGTATCAGATTGTATGTATCTTTACCATTTGACACATGATTGAATGCGACATAGGGTCAAAGTCCATTGATCAGGAATGGCCGTGTAACGATATCTGTTGGCCAACATTTCTGCTCTTGCTAAATTTTTCCCCAAGGATCGTACTATAGAAGATTAATATTTATTTTTGTGGAGTGCAGGGACTAGTTTCGAGCTTTGATATGTCAGCGCTTGCTAAGATTGACCCGACTGTGGAAACCACTTGCCTGGGACGTTTGGCCTCAAGAACAAGGAAATCTCTCGGTGAAAAATCTGCCTTTCAAAAAATGAATGTATCTTAACTTGAATTTTGTGTTAGATCATCTTAGTTTAGTCACCCAAGCTCATTGTACTGTTAGCTCTTTTACATTTTTTGTATACTGAATTAGTACAAAATTACTTCTTTCTACTTTATGGTGTACTTCATCTTTCTCACTTGTTTTCATTTAGGAATGAACGATTCACTTGTATAATTACAGGCGCTATAAGGGCAAAATTATATTTGAGATTTGATTTGATTGGATGTCAGTGGATGGAAATAATATATTTGAGAATAATATTGTTATAGATAATTGATGACTATGGTCGATTTTTGGTGGAAATATTAAAAGATTTTAACAGGAATGGTTGTTGTGTTGGACTGCATTTAACCATTTTATGTAATGGTAAAATGTTAATGAATGAACTAATAAATGTTAATTTCGAGCTATTAATATAAATTAATTGATTTTAATTCAAGAATTCACTATTAACCATAATTATTGGAAATTGAATACTTATTAAAATGGATTAATTATATAGATTTGAATGTATTGATTAATTAATTAAGTGAATAGATAATTAAGTTTGTTAAATTAAAATACTATTATCAATTATTTGTTATTAGTCCTGTAAAAAAAATGTTATTAGTTGATTACAACAGAATGATTATGATAACTTTATACATTATTATCCGTGGWGTTAGGACTCAGAATTCAGACAGACTAATCGGAGATAGATGCTTAAACTTTTAAAATCGTAGAAGACCAAATTGAAATCAATCTCAAACTATAAGTACCAAATTTGTAAGGTAGTCTAACCAATTTAAATTAATTCTAAACAAAATATATATATATACATTCTGTAAAAGAAACATCTATCAGAGGAACTATGACAAACAAAATATATCAAAAAAATATTGAAAGAGAGTTTCATCATAGACAGAAATCTCAGAGTTAAATGATATCTAGAACGTGGTTGTTAGAAATATTGAAGATCAAAAAATAGATCTCATTCCAAAATTTACAAGAATAAGGGAATATAAATACATTACCCACCCATTCCACTCACAATTTATCTGTACCTGGCTGCAACACATTTTCAAATAACGCTGCTGTACAGTACATGTGTCTGAAGCTCTCATCTTCTAACTTCTAAGACCACAAAGTTTGTCTAAAAAGTGTTTGGAAAATAATCAGTCGCCATCCCATCAAAATCAATAGGGAGGAAAATAGTTAAATGCTCATTAACTGATGCTCAAAACATCTACAGTGGATAGAGAACAAGGTATAAAATTCTAATGTAGGAAGCTCCTTTTAAACCAACAGCACTTTTTACTCAGTTAAAAAATGTTAATAGACAGCTATCCTATGGACAACTTACTCCACTCCAACTCCAAGCAATAGCCTAAGCCAAGTGTTGGGTATGTTCCTCGTTTCCTTGGAAATGGAGCCAAGTGATGGGCGGCCTTTTGCTTTTCTAGCTCCTCTAATTTCATTTGTTAGTGTTGTCTGTTGTGAATTGTCATGTGACCCCAGAAACCCACAACATCATTTCAACTTATTACAAAGCCACTCTCTGTAGGCTGTACATCTCTGATTTCTTGAAAAGGATCATACCTAAGATAAGGATGCATTGGTTGCTAGGACGAGAACAGTGAGATTGACGATACATTACCACAGCATGCCTTGCAACGTCGTGCCCATTTTCCATTTAAAACTTTATACTGCCAGTTTACTGCTTTGGAGGCTGATCTGAGGATGAGATCTTCTCCACAGAACCTGAGAGGCACTGCCTTTTTACAATTTGGAACTCCATTTTGAGTAGACTTCTTATTCTTGTCCTCAAGCCGGATGCTTCCTGCGGTTTGAACCACCGCTTGCCAAACTGAGATTTCAAGAGCAAAGCAACCACATCATGTCATCGGCATTCCAGGAACATGGTTAGTGTTATAAAATCAATTCAACAGCATAAAAGTACCATATCCAAGTCCTTCCTTTTTAGTCTATCAGGAGCCTCTTCAATGAAGCGCTCTATGAAGTACAGAACAAAGAGACCACAGTCATAGTCGTTCTTTTGCTGTGGAACCTGGTGATGGCCATTCATTAATGGGAAAGGCAAAATCTCAAATCCACAGCACAAAAGATTAACATTGTAAATTTTATGAAGTAAAGTTGATGAGCGATAGAAATACCCTTTCTATTATTTATAATGAGAAGAAATTACAAGGAACCAAGGGAGAATTAGAGAGCTCCCGAACCTTTTACTACCCGTACAGTGGTCCTCCCTCCCTAACGATTTTCTGCCTCACTTCTATGCCTTATCAGCACCCCTTTTCTAGAATATACATTCTTAATATTAGGCCTGTCAATGAGTTATCGACTTTTACATCTAATGTCATGTGGCAGGGTTTCCTTGTTTATAATTCCCAAGTGTAGCAAAACTATTTTGTGCTGTAAACAGAATAGTTTGGACTGCTGAAAGCCTGAAAGCCATTATGTTATGTGTGGGAGTCCTAATAGGGATAGTTTGGGAATATTATTAGTGGGAGTATTATGGTAATTAGTTAGGACTTAGGGGTGGGTTGGATATAAATAGAGGGTAGTAGGGAGAAGAGTGGGTATCTTTTGGAATAGTATTTTGGTGAAAAACTTGAGAGAGTTCCCGAAACGCTATCGATATTATAATTTCTCTTATGATATTGCAATATAGTTATCTTGTTAGGTTCTTGTATTTGGGATCCTAACATTATGCTTCTCAATGTCCAGAAACTTTATATAGATCTATTTTCTTCTATCACTATTTTTTAAATCACAAATTAAACAACCCCTTTGAACTTTTTACTTTTTCTGTTCCTCAAAGAATGAAAAGTTACCACCATCTATAGGTTTACATAATACACAGAGAAAACACAACTAATAAAAGTAAGAAGACTATACCTCGATTATTTTATCTTCAATTCTTCGAGAGATGTTTTTCCATATCCTAAACGGCATTGGAAGATCTGAGTCACTAACTTCTCGATCCAAGTAGCACCATTCCTCTTTTATATAACTACAGATAACATTTTATGCACCCAGATCTTGGTCACTTTCTGAAGAACATCTTAATAGTATATCTAAAAGAAATTCCAGAAAACAGAATGGACAATAATAGTAATTCCACCAAAGTAGTTGATCAAAATATTTCCAGAAATGGTATAAGGCATTTTCATTGGTGTCATAAAAGGGCTTCCGTACTTTTTAATGTTATCAAAAATTGATCTGCTAGAGTGTAGTCCCAGTGAATCCAAATGAAGTATAATGGGTCCCGCTTCATCTTCCTTATGTGGAAAACATATAATCACCAAGCTCCAGTGAAGACTGAACACATCAGAAACCAAAAAGATAAAATCAAAATTCTCTTTTAAAACCATACCCAGACCAACACAAAAATGCGGAGAATATTTGATATCCTAGATAATGATAGACCATGGCATGAACCCATGAACTCGAAGCATCTAAGTTTAAAGCTTGCCTTTTGGTCATGGGCCAGCCCAACGTGGTTGGAAACAGGAGTAATCGAAAAGCTATAGACAATGTGAGAACTACAGGAAATAAAGAGAACACGCAAAAATCAATACAATGAGATTCTACACATTCACATGGAAATTGTCATGCTAAACGAACTGCAAAATAATTAATAGCATGCACATTAGTGCCATTAACTCAAAGAGACAAGTAATTGCACGCTTAGATATTAAAGAGTTGACCATAGGAACTTACTCCTCGTGGATTGGAATCAGTACATAAGCTTTCTGAAATATATTAACGCCCTTCCACCACCTTCTGAACTTGACAAAAAAAATTTCTTTGTCCTTCCCCTTAACATGTCAAGAAATCAAAGTCAAGAATAACTTGCGGGAAAGAATACTGTATTACAGCAAAACTATAGATATTATACGAGACTATACATACGCACATTTAAAGAAGAAAATGAAGAAACTGTCAGTGCCACAAGTAACCTCATGTCATATCCTCGGGGGAAATAAAAAAGGCAAGGCTGTTTATATCTATTTGTGCTACAAACCTATTACAATATAAAGTACTTTTTTTCCCAAAGGCTATGATACCAATCTTGGTGAAGCTTTAGTTTTATTAATTCTAAAATTAATTTTACAGAGGGGAAGCCATGGCCTCTATAGATTTGCTTGGCTTATGGGTTATGGGCTTCGATTACAATGGTTTTTTCTAATTAACCAACAGTAACTAACTCTAATCTTAATAAATAAACAATACTTAAGTAAATAAAAATACTTAAGCAAAAATACAAATAGACCCTAAATAAACTAACAATATAGTACATCAAAACACATATTTAATTGATAGAGTGAATGGTTACCTACAAGGTATCAAACTCTTTTAAAGAAGCTAACGTAAAATACTCCCCAATAAGAATTTATTGTAAAAAGGGCATAATTATAAAGGGAACAAAAACTATTGAACTCAGATATTTCAAAAACTTCATGCAACACATGTTAAACCCACATCACCACACCCCCACTAGAAATTAGAAGTCCATCCCTCAACTCAGAAGCTTTTAAACCCTTCAACCGAGATCAAAATCGTCAAGCCTGTTACATGTTATGTAGGTGCCGATATCATGTTTCATCACATGCTTATGTGCACACTTCTTAATCTGGTAGTAACCTAGTAATGCAGTTCTGCATTTCCATATCCAGTAAGTAAAGTTTATGAAACCAAAAATTATAGGACATTGATTCTAAAAGTATACACCTAGGTGTGTCAGCCAGATACACCTTGGAAATCTTGCCTCATGCCTGACGAGGCAGTCTAGCTTGGGTGTGTGCCTTCTTTAGTGCACCACAATAAGGTTTACAGTTTCAAATTCTTTAAGTGCCATTTTTCCTTCTACACACTAACGTTTTGCCCTACATTTCCTGAATGCAAGAGTGATTTTGAACTCCTTTCTTACTCGTAACTCTTTATTTGATTTTTTTTTTTTCTGGTTAGTGCGGAAAAAAGATCTACGAATTTCTTCTTCTTTGCCTCTCTCTCTTATAGATGACTTTTCATATGTAAAACATGTCATAATTTTCTATATTTATTCTCTAGAATATCTTTTAAGGATATCTTATTTTGATCTCTAAATTATGCATCTATGCAGGGTCTAGCCTCACCTTGGGCTTAGGTTAACAGAAACTTTTGCACCATAGTACTATATACTTCTCTCAAGAAAAAAATGAATCAATCACTCAGAAGGGGGAAGTAAAGTACTCAAACAGCCTTGAAAAAAGTGTATAGGACTACCTTGTTTGATACAGCCTCCTTAAGCTTTTCATAAAAATAAGTATTGAAAAAGTGAGAATTGCATATCACCCTATTTGTTGAACATGCTCGCTGCTGTAAATACCTACATAGGGAGGAAAGTTGCACATGGAACTTAAAACTGCATCAATACCTAAAATTTCTGCTAAAAAAGAAGAAGAAAAAGTGAAGGGAGAAAAATAAATGATAGCAATAAAAAGTGAAGGAACGAAATTGTGCGGCCCGGGCGCTTTTATGGTTGATATGGAAGGAACAAAATAGTCGGCTTTTTGAAGATATGATTTTGTGAGATTCTTTTTGTGTGAATATTAAGCATCTAGCTTCATGGTGGACTTTACTCCACAAAAAAGTTTTTTGTAACTACAATCTTCTCTTGCTTACACAAGATTGAAAAGTGGTGATTGTATATCGCTTTGAGGAGGGTTAGCTCTACCCTCCGCCTTCTGACTGTATCCCGTTTAGGGGCCTTTTTTATTTGAATACAGATATTTTGTTTCTTATCCAAAAAAAATAAAAAATAAAAAATCAGACGATACAATGAAATCCTACATTTAACTCCATCTGGATTCCCCTCAAAAAGTGTTTTTTTAAATCAGCATTGACATGCATTCTAAGCTGGAAAGGTGCTTTCCGAACTAGAAAACTCAAAATAAAACAACAAGATGATAGCAAACAAGAAAAAGAAACAAAGCCAAGACACGCCTCAAGGAAAAGAAAAAGAAAAACCTCTAAACATAGAGAACAGATCAAGTTCCATCCAGAGCACCAAAAACTTCTTTCAAACAAGAAGAAAAGAAAACTAAACCCCGTGAGTTTTTTGTGGTAACAATGTATCATGCCATATTGAAGTTCATAGAGAAGAGAACAAAAAAAACTTGCAGTACAATGAGTCACACATCAAGTTCTACATCTAATCACTTCCATAGGTCCAAAAGGTGCTCTACTAACCGAATATAAAAGTTCATGATCGTTGATGTCAAATAACCCTCTGGATCAAGACACTTTATGTCCTCAAAACAAATTTCAACTGATTCTGGATCGTGCCTGCCGACAGTTAGTAGAATATATAATAAAAGTACCACTTTCATAGAATCACAAATTTAAAGAGAATATGCTTAGGTATTGATAATAAAGAAAAGTGTTGTGCACCTTGATGGATAGTAGATCTTGGTCTCCTTCATGCTGAAAAGTTCACATAAATGTAAATTGTAGCTTGTATCAAAAAGTTGTCCAACCTATGATGCATGTCAATGGACTAAAGAAACAAGCATATTAAGTTTACCATTTGTCATCACGCTCTGATATTTTTATTGCCAGAGCTTCCTCCTCGTCTACAACTACAATGGTCTGCCCCTATCCAAAGAAATCTCATCAATTAGATGAAGAAAGTACCATAAAGAATAGAACACAGCTATCCTACGTAAGGGCAGCATAAATGCCTGCTTGACATGGTTTTCTGTTTTTACATGGAAAATAAGACCTTCATAAAGAGCGATTAAAAACAAACATGAATCAAATGCTGCCACAAAAGAGTGAGATAAAACTCCCCACAGAGCTCTATACTGAACTATCATGTTGAGATCGTAAGATTATTATAACAAATGGGTATTATATCTTGCCTTACACATCAAAGCCACGAGAATGAAAAACATAAACCCAACAAAGTCTAACACTCAAAACGTACCTCTCTAAGTCTCAGATTATCTGAATGCTGAACTTGAGAAGCATCCTTCCTGCAAAGAAGGGCCAAAATAATCTTAGCACATGAACTGTGGACGGGCTACATCAATCTGAAAAGTTAACTGAGAGAAGTTATAAAAGGTTATTCGATTTTTTAGGTCAACTTTGAGGTCCCACAATTTTTTAGAACCTCAGTTGGATAAGCTAATCATTTATAATTTTTAGCTCAACTGGATGTTTATTTAATTTTATTCATTTTCTTTTTCAGGTTTCCCTTTTAAGTGGAAGGCCAAAATGCCATGGCTCAGCTCATTGCCAAAAGGGTTGTTTTTCAGGATAGTTAATTGGAGAAACAGAAGGATTTTTCAGGGTGTGAAAAGACTTAATAATGGGATTTGGATATTGATCTAGTAGCCCTTTCTTGGAGTCCTTGCTCGAAAGATTTTGGTAATTACTCTCCCTCTTCCATGACTTCCAATTGACGGAGTCTTTTTGTAACTCCTTTAAGTTAATTCAGATCATTTTTGTGAATGTTCATTGTTTCCAATGTTTTCTCTACAAATATCCATTGACATCTCCGTAAGTTCAAGACATGAAGATTCATCAATACTGACATCTAAATCCTTGATATAAATTACTTACATGCTAGACATTAGACACCATTTTAGCTAATCTTAACTGATTGCAAGGATAAAGTAATGAAACAAACCAAGCATGTAACGAGTCTTCAGTACAATCATATCTAATGCCATAGTAAATTCTTGTATTGAATAAAATCTTATATTACTAGCACAAAAATGAAAAACTGCCCTCTCAAGATAGCTTCCAGTATCTACATCACACATCAGAACCGCATGGGGGATTTAAGGGGGAGAAAACTTAAAAAGTAGTCAAAGAAGGATGGTTAAAGTAGAACTTACTTCCCAAAACAGCCAGGCAGCTTTTCAATGACGTCAAAATCAAACTGATCAGAATTTTTGCCATTTTTATGAACATCGAAAGAAAGATTATTGGCAGATTTGAATGGCTGTTGTCTTGATGATGTTTGACCCTTCTGTTTTAGCTTTGGTGATAATCTACCATTATATCTCTGTCTCCGATTATCACAATGTCCCAAAACTGATAGTTCTTGACTGAAGGAACCATTATTGCACCCTGCCTGCTCAGATAGTTTAAAATAAATAAAAGAAATTATGTTGAGGGCTGAAGGAAATTAAAAGTTACAGACATTTATATGGCACAGTGCAGTACTTTTTCTTCCAACTTCCGGGAAAAACAAGAAGTGAATGTGGACAATGAATCAGCTGAAGATGAAGCAGTCTTTTCCCTAGCTCCGTAAGACGTACCTACAAAAAGATTTAAACCCTTGTGCCTGATTAGTTGACAAATTTTGAAAATTTTTTGTAGTTGATCGTATATCTAACTGTAACTTCTTCCATTGTGTGAATTTTTTCTTTTGATGAGAAATCACCCTGATGCTTCAACAATTGGAGAAGTTGTAAGACATTGTCTCTCTCCTTCTCGTCACTCATACCAAAGATCAGTATTTAATATTTACTTATGCAATCTACCTCCCAGTAATTTGATCATATCAGATATACCTCCAAAGTTAATTTATCAACTATGATGACCCAAATTTATCAACTATGATGACCCAAAAAACAAAAAGAAAACATCATTCCTCCAAATATGCAAAGAAAAGAAACAAAAAAGGTATGTTTGATACCAGGAAAAAAAAAATCTAAATTGAGCTCCTTGGCAACTCCAATACTAGTCTAAATATGATTTTGAAGTTCTGAGTCAATCTCCAACAATATCTATATCCTCCTTTCAACAACTGCAGGTACATGCCATTTCCAGAGGTGCCATAATTGTGCATGACAGTTCAAATTTAATAATTTGTACATTTACTCTGATCAATCGCCCTAAATTATACTATTTTCACTAAGAGCATAAAAAAGTCCAAACTTTTCTACTAATTGTGCCCCCTGTGACTTGTGTGATTGCACACGACTAAGGGACAACTGATGGTAGTGAAGAGAACATAGATGGTTCTTTTCTTCACTCTTCTTCTCCAAATAAAAAGGCTTAAATGTCTGCCTACCAATACAAATGTGATCTAATTCATAATGGAGAAAAATTATATTGAGTATTACATGAATGAAAACATGCAGCATTACAGTTCAAGCAAGCACAAGATCCATCAATTTTTCCATTTTACCAACAGTGTGGCAATACTGTTCAATATATGATTTGGAGTTTTAAGGTCAGTATAGGAAAGCAATAAAAATAAATCGAAAAGGGACTATAGTGATAAATTTAGAACATTACCAACCATACTTGAGGTTGTTGGCTGTGAGAGATTTTCGCATCCAGTAGCTTCCTGACAAATAATAAAAGCAGAAGAATCTTAAATTAGAACCAAGTTGGGAGAGTAAATCCCCATATGAAGTTATCTTCATACTCTTGAATAATCATTTGATCTTCCTGAGCAGTAATATGAGCATCCAGATATTTTTCTTTGTGGGTTCTTTAAAGTAAATGTTACAACGTCATGCGTGGTCCGAGAGGAACTAGGCTTTTTAAATTTTTAGAAAGTGAATAGAGTGCCAAATTGGGTTAGGATGCTTTCATATCTGCGGCCTCTTTTGTCGAGTTTTTGCTCAAAGATTTGTTATAACTCTCCTCTTCAACTCATCTGGACTTGGGAGGCTTTCCCTACTTTAGTCATATAATTCGATCATAATGTAGTGAAATTTTGTTCCTTATCAAAAATAACTAAATAAATCAACCTCCAGAACAGGCGGGTCAACCAGAACTTCATCGAGCAGCAAGCATTTGTTAACGAAAAGTGATCCCAAGATATAATCCATTTGGTTACGAACTACGAGAGTACTGACCAGTTACAACAACAAACACTCGGGTTCCCAAAGGGGGAGTTTAATTGATGCGACGGCGAAGGATGTTCAATAAAAATCTTGATTTTGTCCCCAAACAAAAATTGAAAACATTGATGATCGAAGGCTAAACTAAGTTCGAATTTAAGTAAATAATCAGCATTAGAGCCTGTGACGGAACAAAAAGAAAAAATTCTCCCAACTGATACGGATAACGGCACAACCCAGTATACCCAATTGCCCATTCTTTCAGTTTTCTCAGAAGGAAAAAATAAATCGAGTAATTAACATGAGTTCACGATTCGAAGGAAGGGACTCAATTTGTAACAGGAAAACCTTTTCAACTCGACGGAGCTTTCTGTATTCCCTCTCTTCCTCGCACAGCTCCAGAGTGCGAATGTACTTTTGCCCCTTGTCAGGCAATTTACAAGCCTTTGTCTCGTAGAAACTCTTCATTCTGCGAATCTTATCTTCCAGCTCGACATCGCTAAACTTTTGGTATTCTTCTCTAGCCAAATGTTGCCGATCGGAGTCCATGTCAAGGTGGTTCTGGGGGTGAGGAGCCGCGGTGGGAGGCTCGATGACTACATCAGGCGGAGGCTCCTCGTCTTCACAGCCTAAGAGTTTGTCCCAGTCAATATTCAGAGGTCTCTTTGTCGTTTTCTCTTGCTCCATGAATATGCATCTGATGCAGCAGAAATTTACGCTATTTTTTACTTCCTCTGTCTCTCTCTCCGTTTACCCTCTTCTTTGTTCTTGACAACACTCTGACAGAAGTCGCAGAACAAAGGTTTTTTTGGCGTTCATTTGGCATCCCGGGCTTTCCCCTCCATTTCCCATTCCATGCATTTACTGAGATTTTTTTCCTTTTCTTTTTGGCGCTTTCCTTTTTCTTTTTTTTTTTTCCCCTTTTTGTGTTTTTCGTAATTTTATTTGTTTCGAGAGTCTCATCTCATGTACTAAGAAATAAAAAAGAATTATACGCATAATAAGATATTTCACCTATCTTTTGAGTCAATATAGCACGATAATAAATATATTGTATTAAATATAGTTTATGAAATAGGTGCTTAAATTAAATGATATTTCATACTTTGTCTTTAGTTTAGTCACACTTCTATAGTTTTTATTTTTTATTTTGTACTCTTGCCTTATGATCTGTCTTTGTTTCAATTTAGTTCACAGACCTTTTTTATACCTTAGTCACTTTACATATAAACTATTGCTAAATAAATATTTTATTTGCATATCGAAATTAAACTCTTCAATTATTTAGTTCACAGACCTTTTTTATACCTTAGTCACTTGACATATAAACTATTGCTAAATAAATATTTTATTTGCATATCGAAACTAAACTCTTCAGTTATTGATAGACTAATCTACTAAATTTAGTGAAAAAAAAAATCCATCATTTTTGTTATTTGTTTAAAAAATACCCTGTCATTTAAAAAGTTTTAATATTTTATTTGACATTTCATAAACATTTCAACAAATACCCTTTAACATTAACTTTGGTTAATATTTCAAATTAAAGTTGATGTGACAAAATCTTAAATAATTATAGTAAATATGGGAGAGGTCCAACCCATACCATATGAGTCGGACTCTACTATTATTCGACAATTTCAAAGTAGGCTAAAATTAGCTTATTTGCTGTGACAATGATGATGGTGACAGGAAGGGTTTGGGAAGTTAGAGAGAGGGGTTGTAAATAGGGATTAAAAAAGAGAGGTGAAGATGGATGAGTCGAAACTTGAAAGGTAAAATTTAAGTCAACGTTTGTAAAAAAAGGAAAATAATAAAACAAAGCACAAATTTTTAAATAAAAGAACTCAGGGACAGAAATGTCAATTTCCCTGTAATGGGCCTTCACTGACGCCCGAGCCCGATTTTGTATTACTGGACTAAATCTGCTAAAGTAACCATGTAGGTTACGCACTGCACCACGTGGACCAATAGGGAGTCACCTACTAGACTAAGCCGCTGAAAGAGAAACAGGCGATTTCTTGTTCTCAATGTTTCTGTAGGGGTTGGGGTCCGGTTCTTCTTCTTCCCCTCCTTCTCCAGTCTCTAGGGCACAAGATTAGTGTAAGAGCTCGTTCGGCAGAAAAGTGCAAGCTAAGCCTGGAAGCTCCGTACTTCCTCGCGATCTTTTTTATACTTCCATGGCGGACTCTTCCTCTTCCCCTGCAACCCTTGATTCAAATCCTCAAGTTGCCGACCCCGAAAACCCCAATTCCCAGACAAATCAACCCGAATCTGCCGCTCCTTCTTATCCTCCACCGCAATCGTTACCACCAACATCGATATCTCTCGGAATAAACCCTACCTTGCATTCATCGTTAGTGTCAACGCCACAACCACCTCCTTCTCTATCATATGCCCCGCCACCCTTATCCGGCACGGTGGCCGTTCCTCCGACGGCTCCGTCTTTCCGCCCGGTGCCTCTCCCAGCTCATCAGTTCTCGCCCATGCCGAACACTGGCATGCTGAACCCGAGCTATCCAAACCCTGGGGTTCAGCCTCCCGGTGTTGGCTCGGTGGCGGCGCCTGCTCCTGGTATGCCAAGTGGTGGTACAGGAGCAGTTCCGGTGCCGCAACCGATGATGGCATATCAAATTCCACCGGGTCAGGTTCCGAATCCGGCGTTGAGGCCATACGGCACCATGCCAAATGGTTTCGCTGCCATGCCAACTGCTGGTCCTCAAGGGGCCTTTCCTCCCCCTGGTGGGTCTTATTTATCCCTATTGTTTATAACACTGCAATTGCCAATGTGATTGCGTATTATTTTAGAACCGTTTCTTATTTAGTACGTCATTGTTCTGATTGTCACTGTGTTGTTTGAAATTGTTAAACATTCTGTTTGTTGATGTTGTCAATTACGGCAGATGCATTCATTTTGAGTTCGTTATCAATTGGAATACAGTCGAACGTAGACGAAAATTTTACTTTGATTTTGTGTGACTTTGACTTGTTTTTTTAACCGTTGACGCAAAGTATAAGTTCCGCGCATATTATGATGCCTGGGAAAGAGTTTGCTAAAATAAGTTCGGAGTCTATTAAAAATTTTCGTCTTGGTTAGATTAAGGGTATCGATGACAGGATGTTTTCTCCTACAGCGTCTTGTCTCTTGATTGAATACGGTGAGAAAGGTTGGAAGGCTTCATATTGCTTAGAGAACTACCATCTACAACTCCTTGTTTGGTATGCTCATTCATATTTGCCTGTTATTCTTGTTTGCTTTCAGCACGATTTTTTTAAATAGGATTCTGGTACTAAGCCCATAGAGAACTTGGTATTTATAATACAAGTAGTATACAAGAGTCCTTCCTTTTGCCCTGCTACATAATACACGGCTGTGTCATGTTTATTTACTAGGATTTTACTGGTAGTTATATTGGATACTGTCCCTGGATATTTGAATTGCCAGAAGCAGACCATGTTAGCACCTGTTCGTTCGCCTTGTTTCTAAGGTATCAAATTCTCTTAATTAATTTTATTTGACATTTTCTTAATTTCTTTATGCTACACTTCAACATCTAACCATTGGAAATCTGAGAGTGAATTTTGGGAATATGTGAATTTGTTCCTCTTTTCAATTGATTATCTGTATGTATGACATGCTCAAAGTGTGTGCTTCTTAAATCTTAAATTGTGCTTTCGGTGGACGGGATATTTTGAGAAGGTTGCAGTGCAAGAGTAAGGTAAGTCGAATTTATGTAACAGTTGAAGGAATTTGGTGCTATCATTTGAATGCTTTCATCAGGTTATCTATTCAGCTGGTGATAGTTTCCATTCCTGTGCTTTGGATTTTGGTAATGGGATTCATGATTTCTCATCTATTATACTTCTGTATACTTTTAGCACCGTTAGATGGTTACCTGTGAGTAGTCTGCCAACACTTTCTGATGCATTGGCAAGATATTCTTTTTCATTTGTGCAGGAGTTCCTCGTTATCCTTCTCCATACCCTGCTATGATTCGGACTCCTTTTCCTCCACGGCCACCTGGTGCTCTTGGCATGGTTCCAGGGATGCCACGCCCTCCTATTCCAGGGATTCCTGGCGTTCGTCCAATCATCCCTCCTGTGGTTAGGCCATCTGTTCTCCCAAGTGTTACACCTGCGGAAAAACCACAAACTACAATTTATATTGGCCGAATTGCACAATCAGTGGAAAATGATTTTATGCTTTCTCTTCTTCAGGTAGGTTAATCATTCTCTATGTTGCATTTCTTCAGTTATTTTGCTTTCCTTCAATTTTAGTGACCTATTTTCAATATCAATCTGTTCTTGTAGCTTTGTGGACCAGTGAAGAGTTGGAAACGAGCTCAAGATCCTACAGATGGAACTCCTAGAACCTTTGGATTCTGCGAGTTTGAGTCTGCTGAAGGCGTTCTTCGTGCTCTACGATTACTGACAAAGTTAAACATTGATGGACAAGAACTTGTGGTATGATTGGATTTGTCATAATATTTGTAGATATCCCATTTGATCTTATTAGTGCTTAATTTTGATCTCTATTAATCTATTTTAAAACATTCCTTCTCTAGAGGGGACATTAGAGTCAATTATATGTTTTTTGTTGTTCTATCAATTCTTTATCATTGCTTTTAAGATTAAAATTTCAACCAAAGAAGAAGCTTAATGGGTTCTATCTCTATGTTGGACTTAATTGTATAACGCAGTTCTCATAGTTTAAAGCTATGGACATGCTGGCGTTTTTGTAACTTGCCTTTTTGGCCTTTTGTATATTTCTTATCACCAATGAAATATCGTGTTTCATGTAAAAAAAGCTATGGACATGCTTAGATATTGTATAATGGGACCTGGTTTTTGAAGGCACCCTCGAAGTTTTACTTTAGTATTACCTTTAATTTAGTCATATGCAAGGTTGGCCTCTGTATTGCTGTTTTATTTTTTATTTTTCCTGCCAAGCTTTCATTCGTTATGTATTGATATTTTTCATTTTGGATGACAGATGTCATTATTTTTTTTCCAACCTAGAAATGGTATGGATATTTATTTTGTTTGGCATCATTGTACATAAAAAGTTAAACTTGTTTCCGATAGAGAAAAAAAAAAGTAAGTTAATGTAGTCTTTTTTTCTTCCCTTTCTCCTTTCGGATCACATCAATGATCAACTATTGTTCTCTACATTCACCTTTCAACTTATTATTATTTTTTAAAATTTATCATTATTTTTTTAATAAACAGTTAAAAGGTACTCAAGCAACAAGAGATTATCTGAAGCGTTATGTTGAAAAGAAAGCAGAGAATTCAAAGAAACTGAAAGAAACACAAGTTTCAGAGACCAAAGAAGAAGAAGCAGACACTACGAAAGTGGCTAAAAATGAAACTTCAAAGCCCCCTGTAGAGGATTCAAAGGAGGACCACGATTCTGGAGAAAAAGAAGATCATGACATTGCCAATTCTGCAGTTTTAAGTGATGAAGATAGAGATGCTGATCGAGAGGCATCAGAAAAGCTTACAAATGCACTGGAGGAAAGGTTAAAGTCTAGACCTTTGCCACCACCTCCTCCACTGACAGCAGCTGATGTCTCTGGTAATTCAAGTGCAGAACCATCTGCTAAATTGAAAGATAGTGAATCTGACGCTGATATTTTGAAAAGTGGTAAGTGCGTATGATTGGTTTTTCAAATCTTCTCTCTGCAGCATGAGAATTGGTTTGCACGGGAGATATGCATTAACGTTTATATTTCGGTCCTTAGTTTATTGCAAGTAGTTTATGTTTCTTTCTATAAATAAAATTGGAATTGCTGGGTTGCTTAATTGTCATAACCTCCTACAGATGCAGCTGATGATAGAAATGATGATGACACAACTAGTGATAATAAACAAACTAGCGAGCATGAAAAGCCTGAAACAAGTTCACCTGACAGAAGTAGAAGGTATGACAGGAGAAGCCGAGAAAGAGACAGGGAGCGGGATTTGAAAAGGGAGAAGGAGAGGGAAATTGAGAGATATGAAAGAGAGACAGAGCGGGAGCGTGCTAGGAAAGAGAGGGAACAAAGAAGAAAGATTGAGGAGGCTGAGCGACAGTATGAAGAATGTCTTAAAGAGTGGGAATATCGGGAAAGAGAGAGAGAAAAGCAAAGGCAGTATGAGAAAGAGAGGGAAAAAGAGAAAGAACGTAAAAGGAAGAAAGAGATATTGTATGATGAAGATGATGAGGATGATGATTCAAGAAGAAAATGGCGCAGAGGTGCTCTGGAGGAAAAGAGGAAGAAGAGGTCTAGAGAAAAGGAAGATGATTTGGTTGATAGACATAAAGAGGAAGAAGAAATTGTTGAGGCCAAGAGGAAGACTGAAGAGGAACAGCTGCAGAAACAGAAAGATACCCTGAAACTTCTATCTGATCAGACTATGAATGTCAATGAGAAAACTGTTCTTGCTGAAGAATCCGCTAATGATATTGTTATGGCTTCCGAACGTGATTCTGAGCTCAACTCTAGCTGCGAGAACCATATTGGTATTATCTTACTCGTCAACTGTAAAAAGTCTTTTTTTCCTGCATAATTATTACATCGTGCTCTTGTGTTCTATTATTTTGAATGACATATCTGGTATTTGACAGGGGACGGGATTTTACAAAATGGTAGTGGCGATGAATCAAATACGGTACTATTGTCAGAGACTCGACAGAGTGGAGGCTTACCTGCAAAAAGGTTAGGATTTGGTTTAGTAGGATCTGGGAAACGGACTGCTGTACCTTCAGTTTTTCATGAGGAGGAGGATGATGAAGCACAGAAGGATAAGAAGATGAGGCCACTGGTTCCCATCGATTACTCAGCTGAGGAACTCCAGGCTGTGCAACCTGCCAGTACTGGAGCGTTGCCGCCAAATTTAGTTGCAGCAGCCGAGTTTGCAAAGCGTATATCAAATGTTAATGCCAAAGAAGAGAAGCCTGACAGTGAAAGGGAGCGAGGAAGGCGTTCTGGCGAAAAGTCTAGTCAGCGGGATAGAGACCGGAATGATGAGGATGCGTATCGCACCAAAGAGGAGAACAAGGCAATAGACAGAGATAGGGAGCGAGACCATGTTTTGGATAAAGCAAAAACACCAGATAACAAAAAGCTTTTGGATGCAAAACAGTTGATTGATATGATTCCAAAGACGAAGGAGGAGTTATTCTCATATGACATAAATTGGGCTATTTATGAAAAGGTACGGAGTCTCGTTGAATTACTTTTTTAAGGTATCCATGGGCGTTGAAATTTGAAACTGTATGCTGCATGAGTGTTTAATGAAGATGCTAGTCGACCTAGAACGTCGATAAATCTCTTCTCATTTTGTTCTCTTTGCTTTAAATTTTCCATGTCAGCACATGACTAGTTTTCTTAAAAGCATTTTTTTTCCTATAAAATTGGGGAAAGTGCTGATTATAGATCCTTGTGTGGAGTTGCCATTGCATATTCGAGTTTCTGCTGCTACTGGGCTCTGAATAATTACAGCTGCAGTGGGATCTTTGGTAAATAATATCTGTCGGTGATTTTTTTCTGAAAATTTAACGCACTATTATGCATGTTTGCAGCATGCACTACATGAGAGAATGAGACCATGGATTTCAAAAAAGATAACGGAGTTTTTGGGGGAGGAGGAAACCACTCTTGTGGATTACATTGTTTCAAGTACTCAGGAACACGTAAAGGCATCTCAAATGCTGGAGCTGCTTCAGACAATTTTGGATGAAGAAGCTGAAATGTTTGTTCTGAAGATGTGGAGAATGCTTATCTTTGAAATAAAAAAGGTCGAGACTGGTCTAGCCTCCAGATCAAAAGCATGAGGTTAGTTTTCTGTGTGCCGGCTGTCATTGGTGCTTTCCCTCTACCAATATTTTTCACGGCTCTGAACTTTCAGGCCATTTCCTAGTGGTATAAGGATCGCATTGCTGTTGGGGTTTTACTCAATTGTATGCTTTAGATTCATTCTTTTTGTTAGTGTTCACAGTCGAACTTTGGTCTCCCATGAGAGCTCGCACTTGTAGCTTAAAAAAAAGAAATTGGAATCAACAGTTTTTAGTTTTAGTCTGAACTCTTGAGATATTATCCATTTGAAGCTGAAGCAGCAACTTTAGTTCATAGTGATTGATGGCCATCTGAAAAGTTAGAATATCAAATCTTCTGCGGAATTGAGCCCCGGTAGGTTTTGTTGCCCGCGGGGAGCTGGGAGGTTTCGTTGTAATTTTGACTCATTTCGTAATTTTTAAATGTAAAATTACTCGCTGTAGTATCCTCATGATTAAAATCAACAATCCCTCCCTCATTATTAAAAAAACAAATTTCTTTTCAATCTTTATTGGAAAATCGAATGCACTAATTTCTTTTCCATGGAAGGAAACAGCCCGCCCCTAACACGAAATATGTTATGTAACTCAAGTTGGAAGGATCTGTTGGAATTTTGGGATTGGGGAGGAGGAGGGCAGTTTCGGAATTGCTGCCCATCAGAGATTTTTTGAGATCAATAATTCTGTAGGAGTTTAAGGTTCCAAAGAAGTTTAAAGCTTTGATTGGTGTCTGGGCCGGCGTTTAGCATGACGTTGCCCGTCGGCCCAGTCCTATCCTATCAAAATTTATTATTAATGTCGGATTTTCATAACTCTTTTATTATTTTATTGTCGAAAATTAAGTTGGTAAATACAACTCCACTTTATGTGTGTATTTATTGTTTTCCTAATATTTCAAACTGTTTTTAAATCTAAACTAAATTTTGAGAACTAAAAAAAAGTAAATCAAACAGCGACAAATTTATATATGTATAATTTAAAAATATATAATAGTGTACTATTTAAAAGTGCTAGAAGAATAATTTGACTTTTCAGCTTATTTATTTCTCTTTCATTTTAATTAACATATTTATTTATATAAATTTTTCAATTTTACAAGATAGCTCGTGTATGCTCCACCAAGCCAAAATGTAATTTTGTTAACCTTTTAAAATTATTTGTTATATAATAGAAAAAATGTTTCAAAGTTGAGGGTTGGTCAGCCGCTAGACTTGACATTTGACATGAGAGATAAATTGACATATTTTATAATATTGTAAAGAAATCGACGACAATCAACATACAAATCAACAAAATATTACTAATATGACACAATATTATTATTGATAAATTTGAACTTATTTAAAATGGATGAAATATTTGTTTATATTTGTCTTTTTCAAAAATATATAATTACATGAACACAACATTTTGTTGAAAACCTCTGATATGCCCTCAAATATGTCACCCTCTTTACTGGGCCGACCTGACACAAAGAAGCAAAAGCCGAAGTCTTGTGGGCTCCAAACCTCCAACCACTGTTTGGGCCGCTTACCATAAAACCTAGTTTTGTGACTCAATTCACTGACTAAAGATGGATTGGGCTTGAACTGATCCTTTATGTCGGAATTGACCCATATATTAAACTATTTAAAAAAATATTTTTTCAGCACCAAACTAGAATTCTGTGTTTTTATTTGATTCTTGTTCAAAACATTTAGAATTATAAAATTTATGAACTTTTAAATTCTAGAAACTCTCAATGGTGTGTTTAAGAAATTTCTTAATTTTACAAAATATATACATATATATATATATATGGTAGGTTTATAACTTTTAATTTTCTATTTAATAATAATAAGTCATCGACCTATTAAATATTTTTTTTTTGAAATTCAAAGATCCATTAGACAATATTAAATTTTGTGTGTTTGATGCATCCTGTTTTTTCGATTGACCTCTAAATTTTGTTTAAAATGTGTAATAGGTTAAATATCTATTAAACACATTATAGGAAGTTCAAGAACCAACTAGACAGTTCTTAAAGTTTTTCGACTTACTCAATACAAAATTTTAAATTTTAAAACCTATTAAACACAACTAAATTTGAAGGACTAAACTAATAATTAATTAAAATTAAATTTACTTTAAGCAATCAACTAAAAAATTTAAGTTCTTAAATATGATAGTAAAGTAGAAGGCCTTATATTCCAAACTTTGATAAATCTTATTAGAGTAGAAGGAGAAATGAGAGGGAAGCAGCGATCTTTATTAATTTTTGAAATTTCAAGTAATTTTGTTTCGGTTATATTTCTTGTGTGAGTGCCAACACTAAAGTTGGGCTGGCCCAATTTTGCAAAGAAATCTAAAGGCCCATGTGTTTAAGTGACCTGTCCGCAGAATCAAGTTTTGTCGTGGTTTAATTTTGCTTTTCCACCATGAAGAAATGGATGGAGGGGACGGGGTGCGGTGGGCATTTGCTTCTGCAATCGCGAACGATGTCGAGGACGGAAGCCCTGCAATCACATTACAAATGAATTCCACTGCCATTGATCGATTTCAAGGTAATTTTCCCCCTTCACCTACAATTTTTCTGCATTCTCCTTCCTCTGAAATCGAATGCACCGTCATTGCTTTAATTTCCATCTTGGCGAATGAATTTGATGCCGGTCTTACAAATTTTACTTCGATTATTAGTTCCTCCATTTTGCTCTTCCAGAATTATCAGTCACATCTAGAGATTTATGAAATCTAGCATAACCTATGCGATTGCACTACTTGGCTCTTAAGCTGAATCGAATCGCGCTCGATATTTATATTAAATTCAAGATAGCTTTAGCTTTAATATGAAAAGGAATACTCATGTGTCCAGCACAATTTGATTTGTGAGCTGTTATGATTCTGTGAGATGAGTAGGATGAGTTTCCTTTTATGTTGTTCCATGGTTCCTATGGTTTCCATTCTTGTTTTCCTTCCTTTACTTCTATTTCATTTTATGAACTTTCAATTTCATATTCTATTAGACATTTTCCACAATTCAAAGAGCAAGTGACACAAAGTTGAATTTTGTGTATAAGTCCCTTACCTTTCAATTTTGTGTTTGGTAGGTTCTTGAATTACAAAAGATGTCTAATAGGACAACACAAAATTGAAAGTTCTAGAGACTATTTAAAACTTAGGAGGGAGGTATTAGACACAACTTCAATTTGTAGACCAAACTTGTTATTAGAAAAGAAAAAAAGGGAAGAGGAGGAAACTTAAATGACCCAGAACCAAGCAAGAACAGAACCAATAGCCAAACCAGAAACCAAGGAGATGGCCATTAAAATCCCCGCAACCTCAGCATGTTCAAATGGCACCATTTTGGGTGCGGAGATCATGCAAACAGCGTCTAAATAGCCACCGCTAAGTCCGAGAAGGCAAGTCAGAAGTGACACAGGAATTTCGGTTCTAAGGAATCGGGGCCCATTTAAGCATCCAATAAAGAGTGGGTAAAACAACACCCTGGCCACACAGCTCCCAACTGTAATCTTGGGATTTTTAATCACATAAACTGAAGCAAAATACTTCCCAATTAGACTAGACGCATAATACCAAGAAATCAGAGTAATGGGATACCAGTCCTTCAAAATCTCCGAATGAACATCCTCTGTAACGAACCCCGGAAATATCGACAGAGATACCACGAAGATGATCACTTCTCCAAATGCATAGAGTTTGATAGTGCTTAATATTTCCCATAAGGTTGATCTGCTTATGGACCCAAATACACAACCTTTTCTTTGTTTCTCTTCATTGTTCAAATTCAGGCGGTACTTCAAAACGGGAAGCTTTGCTGCTGCCTTGTACAATATAATACACACAACTATGATTGAGATTCCCACAGAAAAGTAGAGGATTGTGCTTTTTCGCAACCCATTGGTGTCTCGTGGGTATATGCCTTTTGTTACCATCCTCAGCACCGACACCATAAGGCCTGCGTGTTCAAATTGCAAAATAATAATTAAATCCATCGTCCTACCCACCCCCATTCTAAGGTTGATACATTCATCCTAAGCCGTACCTTTATCTAATTTGCACTCTCTAATGATTCTAGTGTATATATACTTAGGCGGGAAGACTCTCAAAGAAGTCAGATTTCTAGTGTATATATTCTAGTGTTTATCTAATTTGCACTCTCTAATGATTCTAGTGTATATACCTATGACGCCCTCTCCTCTTTAGGTGGGGAGACTCTCAAAGAAGTCAGATTTTTCTTCCTTTTGTTTTGAAGAGTTTTGATGAAATTGTTGGTGAATACAGAGAGAGAAGAGAGAATTAAAAATTAATAAAGAGCAGTTGTATTGTATGGAAGAAGCAATCGGAATACCCAACTCTTTTTAATCCAAAACTTTGATTGTGACTAGAAACCAAAATTTCAAAGGAATCTTAATTTCAGTTCCTTTTGGTTGTGTGGTTAGAGAAGAGAATTAGAGCCGTAGATGCAAACACTGTAAAATAAATTTACCAGAACCAGCCTTCCCGGAGACAACAGCTTGCATATATCTCTCCGGGAGTTCGCCGGCAGAGCCAATGACGCCGCTTTGGACGAGCGCATCGGCAACACCGCACATGACAACGGCTCCAACAGTGACATAGAAGCCGTTAAAGAGCCCAACTTGACCTTTAATGTAGAATACTTCTAAAAGAGGCACCACCATTAGGTCCAGCACATAGAGGCCCAAGCCCACATTGATTCGGACTCGAGCGTCCGACCTCCGACTCGAAAAAACGACCGAAACAAGGCCGATGAGGGCCGTGAGTGTAAAAGCCGCAGCGAAGATGCGGTTGGTGTGGGTTTGGGGGTAGATGTGGGAGAAATAATCGATGGTCGTTATGAAGGTGGTCCATGGCAGGAGACTCCCCAGGCCTAAAATGAAGTATGTAATGTAAGTCAAGTTGAATGTATCTGTTGGAATTTTGTTGGTTTCGGCTGAATTGGGAAAGAGAAGAAGGGCAGTTTCCGAATCGCTCCCCATCAGAGAATTTTGTAGCTGAAAAAAAGGGTAAAATTTTGCACAAACGGGAGAAATGAGAGAAGGAGAAAGTGGAAGAAAGAAGAGAGAAAAAAATGAGAAGGGAGTAGGGAATATTTTTATGTGAATAAGAAAGGGAAAAAAAATAAAAAATATTATACGTTATTATAATAGACGGCCCTTGTTTAGTGTCCAAAGCTTTATGTTTATTATCCAAGTGTTCTATGTGTTTGTGCCCATATATCCATGTGTCTCGTGGCTACAAAATTCAAGTCAAAGAAAAAGATGATCTATTTTTATATTTTGTCCAATTCATGGAGGGAAATACTCCATGCACCATCATTTGTTTTTTCAAGTCTTTTCTCCTTCACCTTAGTCTTTTTCCTCTCCTTTTTTCTCAAGTATTTTCCCCTTCTACCTCCTTTTTCATTTGTTTTTTTCTCTGACTCCAGTTCTTCTTCTACACTTCATTCTCACGGAGCAGAAAGAAGAAGAAAAATCGACGCAATTCAATATAGGTATAGTGGTGGAAGTCGATGATTTTTTTTAATAATGCTTTATTTTAAACTTATTCTAAATATATATCAACCCCAAACTATTTCCTAGAATAATGTTTGGAAAATTATAGGTCGTCCCTCCACTCCACAATTTCCGAGTTGCATGGTGTCTTGTTGGCGTCATATATATATATATATATTTTATTCTGGCATGTTTTATTGAATAAAAGAAGAAAAAAAGTGATATAATGGAGACTAGAACCGACCTCTAGATTAAAAAGTAAATATACCACCATTGTACCAAAATGGTAATTTTATATAAATTTGGCATATGTCTCTTCAAGAGACGACATGCTAGAATTAAAAAGATACACAAAATTAAAAGTTTTAGAGGCTATTTAAAACTTAGGAGGGAGGTATTAGACACGGCTTCAATTTGTAGACCAAACTTGTTATTAGAAAAGAAAAAAAGGGAAGAGGAGAAAACTTAAATGACCCAGAACCAAGCAAGAACAGAGCCAATAGCCAAACCCGAAACCATGGAGATGGCCATTAAAATCCCCGCAACCTCAGCATGTTCAAATGGCACCATTTTGGGTGCGGAGATCATGCAAACAGCGTCTAAATAGCCACCGCGAAGTCCGAGAAGGCAAGTCAGAAGCGACACAGGAATTTCGGTTCTAAGGAATTGGGGCCCATTTAAGCATTCAATAAAGAGTGGGTAAAACAACACCCTGGCCACACAGCTCCCAACTGTAATCTTGGGGTTTTTAATCACATAAACTGAAGCAAAATACTTCCCAATTAGACTAGACGCATAATACCAAGAAATCAGAGTAATGGGATACCAGTCCTTCAAAATCTCCGAATGAACATCCTCTGTAACGTACCCTGGAAATATCGACACAGATACCACGAAGATGATCACTTCTCCAAATGCTACGAGTTTGATAGTGGTTAATATTTCCCATAAGGTTGATATGCTTATGGACCCAAATACACAACCTTTTCTTTGTTTCTCTTCATTGTTCAAATTCAGGCGGTACTTCAAAACGGGAAGCTTTGCTGCTGCGTTGTACAATATAATACACACAATTATGATTGAGATTCCCACAGAAAATGAGAGGATTGTGCTTTTTCGCAACCCATTGGTGTCTTGTGGGTATATGCCTTTTGTTACCATCCTCAGGACCGACACCGTAATGCCTGCATGTTCAAACTTCAAAATTTATGGTGCCCTCTCCTGTTTAGGCGGGGAGAATCACAAAGAAGTCAGATTTTTCTTCCTGTTGTTTTTAACAATTTTGATAAAATTGTTGGCGAGTACAGAGAGAGAATAGAGAATTAAAAATTAATTAAGAGTAGTTGTATGGAAGAAGCAATTGGAAAACCCAACTTTTAATCCCAAACTGTGATTGTGACTAGAAACCAAAATTTCAAAGGAATCTTAATTCCTTTTGGTTTTGTGGTTAGAAAGAGAATTAGAGCCGTAGATGCAAACACTGTTAAAATAAATTTACCAGAACCAGCATTCCCCGAGACAACGGCTTGCATATATCTCTCCGGGAGTTCACCGGCACAGCCAATGACGCCGCTTTGAACGTGCACGTCGCCGACACCAAACATAACAACTGCTCCGACAGTGACGTAGAAGCCGTTAAAGAGCCCAACCTGACCCTTTATGTAGAATACTTCTAAAAGAGGCACCACCAGCAAGGCCGGGACGTAGAAGCCCAACCCCACATTGATCCGGACTCGAGCCTCCGACCTCCGACCCAAAAACACAACCAAAACAAGGCCGATGAGGGCCACGGGTGTACTAGCCGCGGCGAAGATGCGGTTGATGTGGGTTTGGGGGTAGATGTGGGAGAAATAATCGATTGCCGTTATGAAGGTGGTCCATGGCAGGATGACCCCCAGGCCTAAAATGAAGTATGTAATTTAAGTCAAGTTGAATGTATCGGTCGGAATTTTGTTGGTTTTGCCTGAATTGGGAACGAGAAGAAGGGTAGTTTCAGAATCACTCCCCATCGGAGAATTTTGTAGCTAAAAAATGGGGTAAAATTTTTGCACAAATGGGTGAAATGGAGGTTGGAAAAAAATTGTAAAACCGTTGATTGGTAGTCCTAGTTAGAGATGCATATCAGTGGGTCCAGATCTGTTTTAGCACAAAACTAACATCGAAAATTGAAGATTCAGTTTTAAGTGCGTCGGAAACTTAGTTTTACCGATCGATTTGCGGTGGATGCTGAAGTGAATGATTGTGGCTAGAAAGATTGAAATGCATCAAAGAACCAAGAGGGAGAGTAGAAAGATGAGAGAAGAATGAAAAGAGAGTAGACAAATATATGGAGATATTTTTATTAAAAAAAAAATAGTGGAGAGATGAGAACAAGAAAGAGAAAAAAAGAAAAAAATATTAATAGACGGCCATTATTTAGAGGCCAAAGGCATGTGTTTCATATCATCATGTGTTTGTTGTCCATATATCTATATATCTATGTGTGTTCTAGCTACAAATTCAAGCCAAAGAGATGATCCATTTTTATATTTTGTCCAATTTTATATTCTCCCATTCTTCTTCTCATGGTTCCTTGTTTTGTTTCTCAATTTTACCACCAACAAAATTTATAAGAAAGATTCATGTGAATTTTGGGAGGGATATATATATATATATATATATTTAAAATTTTATACATCTCTCCCCTCGGATCCATTAAGGTATCGGTTTTTTAGGATGCTTTTGGTTAGTAATCTGAAAACAAGAAATTGAATCGAATGAAAAACATAGTTGTATTATTTATTTTTAGAGTTTTGTATTTGTTAGTACATTTGAAAATTGAATCTCAATTTAAAAAATGACTTAATGTATGTTTAGTAATATATTTGTAAACTAGAGTAGTTACTAATTAAATATTTAGTTCAATCTAAAATCATATTAATTAATTTATTAACATTTTTATTATAAATTTTGTATAATTATTATTTTACAATATTATATAATTTATAATATATATTATATTTTACATGTTTTGATTTTAACAAAAATAAATGTATAACATGAGATAATATAATTATCAAAGTTTTTATCTTTCTTTAATATAATTTTACATTTTAAAGTTTCAAACTGAAAATTTGAAAATACTAAAAACATCGAAATGTTGTTTACAGAATTTCAATTATTTAAATTACAGAATTTAAAAATAGTTTAAAAACAGACACGCTAGGACGTAACACAAAATACAACATGTCAATTTTTAAAAAAGTAGGATAAGACATATTGATGACATATTAATTTTTTTTCTATAAAAATTATATTTACACTGACATATTGATTTTTACCTTTAAACGCATCAATTTAAATTCATACTACTTTATTTTTAAAACAGAAAGATATATTAACAAAATTATTTAATATTTAATAAAAAAATCAAACTTATTAAATATTACTTGAAATAGACTTAGGGAATTTTAAGAAATGTTTACTGTGCTGTGACTGACATCTGTAAGTAACGGAGGAAGTCTATTTATGGGTAGCAAATTCGTCATGGGTCGTTCATGGAGGAAAATACTCCATGCACCATCATTTTTCTTTCACGTATTTTCTCCTTCACCTTTTTTTTCCTTCATCTCCTTTTTCTCAAGTTTTTTCTCCTTGTCCTTCCTTTTTCATCTTATTTTTCTTTCAGATTTTAGTTCTTCTTCTACTCATTATCACGGAATAGAAACGAAAAAGAAAAATCCGCGCAATTGAAAACAGGTATAGGGTGGAAAGTTGGTGGGAGAAAGAACGTAGAAGAAAGCATGTCTTGTGCGTTGTTAAAAGCGTGTCACAAACGTGTCCAATTTTTTCTTTCTTTAATAAAATAGGACACTCTTATTTGCCATGTCGTATCCGAACGTATCGGTGTCCGACACGTGTTCAATCCTGACATCTACATTATTTTCGGTGCCTGTACTTCCGTACTTCCTTGTTAGTGAATTTGAAAATTGGGAGTAAAGAGAAAAAAAAATAAATGTTGAGATAGCACATTGATTAAAATGATCCAAAATTAAAAGTAAAAAATTAAAATAATAATTAAATCTTTTCTAAAAATGATATTTATATCGTATGCACACATCACACGTTTTGATAGTATTTAAATCGTATGCAGACAGCACAGTACACGTTACTATATTTAAATGTAAATCGTATTATAATATAACGTGTATATATTTAATTCTAAAAAAAAAAGTGTATATTTGAGGACTTAAATGGCCTCTCTCATTTCTCCCTCCCTCCCTCTGATAAGACTGATATCACCTCCAAAGTATATGATGTGTGCAATTATTTATAATACAGCGAAAGAAACCCATTAGAAAAATATTTTTCTTTTCTGCCAAATTATAATGGGTACAATTCGATGTTATATGGCAACATGAGTTTAATTATACAAATTTATTATTCAAAAAAAATAATTTGTAAATATGATAATACGCCATTTTTGTATTATTGATATACACGTTCTTACATATGTTAGAGCATAAAATAGAAAAATTAAGGAAACAACCCAACAATAGCATTGCTTTTCTTACACAATTTTATTTCTTCTATACTCAAAGGTATTAATAAATAAGTTTCTCTTGGGATAAAACTAATTATCAACTTTTAATGCAACATCCTTAACATAGGACTCGATAAACTACGACTCTTAGTGTGTAAACAATCATAAAGAGAAAAGAGAAGAAAATTTTTTATTGTTTCAAAACAAAAAATAACTACATATTTATAGATTATTTGTGACAATTCAAATAGACATATATCTTTTCAGATAGGGTTGTGTTCTTTATAAAAGACACAATAGTCTCGTGAAAAGTTGTGATTAATTAAAATTTCGACATATGTGCCTCTTTTTGCAAAATATATTAATCATGCGATAAATATGCATAGGTCAAATATATTACTATTGCAAAATGCCTCTTTTCTTAGTATTACGATATGTGGCACTATTGCAAAATTAATATTGGTATATGCGAATGCCATTTTTTCCATGTAGGATGCTGCACTCTTATGATATTTGAAAGAAAATTAGAATCCATATTTAATTTGAGTAGTTCACGGAAAGATAAAATATCTAAATTGAAAAAAAGTTCAATGGACAAATTAAACTGATTAAGATATTTATTTCTGATAAAAAAATCATTCGGATCTCCAATTTTATATATTATTTAATCAATAAATAAAAGGTTGAACTAATTTCATTTTTGCAGAAGAAAAAAGAAAGATAAAATAACCTAGAAGAAACGTATGCAATGATTATGAAGAGTAGTAATCAAAATATTAACCAGGGCTGGTTCAGTATTTTTCTATCTCCTCCCCCTCAATCCATCTCTCTCTATAGTTTAAACTTTGTTATATGGTTTGGACTTTGTAGAGAAATTCCATGCCCCACATGCACGACAAAGAAAATTATTTAAAATACAGACTTGAATAAGCCAATTATAAGGCAAGAAATTGTAGATTATATTGCACGATCAGATCATCCACAAGATCTTTCGTCACTGTTCCAATATTAATGGACGGTCTGGATTAAGTAGGAGAGCTGCCTCCCATCTTGACTTTATTTTTTTTTTTGTTGAAAACCTCAGATTCTCGTGTGAGCGATAAATTAACGAGAGAATGACAAAAAATGGTACCAAAAAATTTTTATTTTATGATATCGTTATAAATATATATTTATTTTATGTCATTTAGTTTAATTTAGTTGAATTTTCTAATTTATTTTATTTTATTTTCAAGCTCTCTCCCTCTCTCTCCTATCTTTTCCGATTTTCTTCCTCTCTCTCTTCATCCACGTCCCATAATACTAGCTAGGCCTAACTAATAATATGAATAACTGATATTTATTAGAATTTAAAAATTGTGGCTAACAAATTTCTTTTAACTTTAAAATGTCAACTAAGTTTTTATATCATTGACCTATTAAATTTGTTTTGTTGTTTCTAAAATTTCTATACAATTTTGACAATATTTATGAGAGACAAGGAACAACAAACATATATAGTTGTRAAATGCTTAGATTTTTTAATAAAATTAGAAACGAGAAACCAGAAATAAAAGTGTTACTAAATAGATGCTTAGGGAATGGGCCTTAAACATGTATTAGATAAACTAAATTTAAAGGATTACATTAATAATTAACCAATATTGTATGTGTAATGATAGTTAAATAGAGTCTGTGAATAGAAAGTCTTGTGCTAGAAATTTGGTAAATCTGATTAATAGTTTGGGAAATTTCAAGTAATTTTGTTTGGGTTAATTTCTTGTGTGGATTGAGACCCGAGTTCCAATACTGAAGTTGGGCTGGCCCAATTTTGAAAAGAAATCTAAAAACCCATGTGTTTATATGGCCCGTCCGCAGATTCAAAAGTTTTCGTGGTTTAATTTTGCTTTGCTGCCAGCCTTCCAAGAACAAATTGATGGAGGGGACGCTTTGGCCATTAATCATTTGCTTCTGCAATCGCGAACGATTTCGAGGACGGAAGCCCTGCTATCACGTTAGAAATTGATTCCACTGCATTTCAAGGTAATTTTCCCTCTTCTCCTTCCATTTTTCTGCATTCTTCTTCTTTTTAAATCGAATGCACTGTCATTGCTTAATTACCATCTCGGGGAATGAATTTGATTGAGTTTCGTGCATCGGTCGGTGGTTTCTAACAATTTTCCTTCGATTATCAGTTCCTCCATTTTGTTCTTCCAGAATAACCAGTCATTTCTAGAGATTTATGAAATCTAGGCGTAACCTAATTAAACGATTGGACTACTTGGATCTTAAGCTGAATTGAATCGCGTGTCTGTAACGAGTTCTGGACATAAGATAGCTTGAGCTTCAATTTGAAAAAGAGTACTCATGTCTCCAGCACAATTTGATTTGTGAACTGTTATGATTCTGTGAGATGAGTAGAATGAGTTTCCTTCGGTTCCTATGGTTTCCATTCTTCTTTTTCTTCCTTCACTTCTGTTTCCTTTCTGTTTATTCTTTCTTCTTCTTTGTCTGCAATGCAAAACCATATTTCTCTTTCTTTTCTTTTGTTTTGTAAATATATTTTGTCTTTCTTAATCTCCTAAGTATTATTCTTAAGATGAGGCGTCTTTCTAACCAAAAAAAGGTACTCTCATTTCATCTTCGCACCTTTTAACGTTGCTTAAAGCCTGGCCTTGATCTCACAAAGCAAGATTAAGCTGATGACATTAAAACATTTCTTGTGTTTTTATATTCATCTATCCTGCACCCACAGAGCCTCATTTTTTGATAATTCTTTTTTCAACATTTGGCGTGCGGGTTTAGCATTATGATCTAGGAATACTAAACCTCGAGACATCGGGTGTAGATATGGGGTTGAATAGCCTAAGGTCAAACCTTTTAATTTTATGCTTAGTAGTTCAAGCATAAAATTGAAAATTGTAGACATCATTTTCAAGTAGTGTTTGGTTGATTACAAATTAACCAATATTCGATTGGTTGGTTTGAGGTTATCAATAAAAAAGATTTGTCTCAAAACAAAAGTCAATTCGATTGACACAACTCGTGTTCATGGACCAAACTTGTTACAAGAAAATTAGAAGGAAATGAAAGGAAAAACAAGGGAGAAGGAGGAGGAAAGTTAAATGACCCAAAACCAAGTAAGAACAGAGCCAATAGCCAAACCTGAAACTGAAGAGATAGCCATTAACATCCCGGCAACCTCAGCATGTTCAAATGGCACCAATTTGGGTGCGGAGATCATGCAAACAGCATCTAAATAGCCACCGCTAAGTCCGAAAAGGCAAGTCAGAAGCGCCACAGGAATTTCGATTCTAAGGAATTGGGGCCCTTTCAAGCAACCAATATACAATGGGTAAAACAACACCCTAGCCACGCAACTTCCAACCGTAATCTTGGGGTTTTCTATCAAATAAACCGTAGCAAGAGACTTCCCAATTAGATCAAAGACATAATGGTCAGTGATCAATGTAATGGGATACCAGTCCTTCAAAATCTCCGAATGAACATCCTCTGTAACGTACCCTGGAAATATCGACACAGATACCACGAAGACGATTACTACTCCAAATGCATAAATTTTGACAGTGCTTAATATTTCCCAAAACGTTGATCTGGTTATGGACCCAAATACACAACTTTTTTTTGTTTCTCCTCATTCTTCAAATTCAAGTGGTGCTTCATCACTGGAAGCTTTGTTGTTGCGTTGTACAATATAATGCACACAATTATAATAGAGATTCCCACTGAAAAGTAGAGGATTGCGCTTTTTCGCAACCCATCGGTGTCTCGTGGGTATATGCCTTTTGTTACTATTCTCGTCACTGACACTATCACCCCTGCGTGTTAAAGATGATAATTAAATTTATTGTAATCTACTCGCTTAAATGGAAATTTATTGTAATTTTGTTTATCTAAATAGTTGAATTCCTCGTTAGATCTCCATTTATATAGTAAATTTCATAAACTTACAATAAAATATTTTATTTAATTCTAAATATCTTTTAGAAAATTATGTGTCCAAACTCCAAATAAACTAATAAGCGTAGTAGTTTAAGTTTAGGATTTTTTTTTATTAAACAAAGGATTACTCAAGGATTTTTTTTATCCTTTATAAAATCTGCACTTTCTAGTGATTATGGCCGCGTAGGTGGGGAGACGATTATTCTCCCTTTCCTTTTTAAGAATTTTGAAGAAATTCTATGGTGAGTATAGACTAGAGATAATTAAAAAGTCGTAAAAAGTCAAAGGAAAGCCCATCCACATCTTTCAACTCTTTTTAGACCCAAATTGTGATTATGAGCGTGGACTAGACTAGAAACCAAAATTTCAAAGGAATCTTAATTTCCATTTCTTTAGACGGAATCGGAATAAGACAAATTTACCTGAACCAGAATTCCCAGAGACGATGGCTTGCATATATCTCTCCGGGAGTTCGCCGGCGGAGCCAACGACGCTGCTCTGGACGAGCGCCTGGGCGGCACCGCAGAGCACGACGGCTCCGATAGTGGCGTAGAAGCCGTTGAAGAGTCCGACGCGACCCCTAATGTAGAATGCTTCTAAGAGAGGCACGAGCAGCAAGGCGAGGACGTAGAGGGCCAAGCCCAGGTTGATTCGGACCCGAAGTAAAACGCAGCTCCGATCATAGAAAACGACGAGAAGAAGGCCGGTGAGGGCGACGAGCATATAAGCAGTGGCGAAGATGCGGTTGATGTGGGTTTGGGGGTAGATGTGGGAGAAGTAATCAATGGCGGTTATGAAGATTGTCCATGGCAGGAGACACCCTGCCCCTAAAACCAAGTATGTTATGTAAGTCAAGTTCAACGGATCTCCTGGATATTTGCCTGAATTGGAGCTGGGATTGGGAAGGAGAAGAAGGGCAGTTTCGGAATCGCTCCCCATTGGAGATTTTTGGATCTCAAATGGAGACAAACAAAATTTAATGACAATAAATATATAAATATATGAAAGGGAGGGGTGAGAGAGATGAGAAGAAAGATGCATAGAAAGGGGGAGGGCCGGAGGGGTGATTCTTCGCTAAAAAGAAAAAGGATGTGGAGGTGGAGGTGGAGGTGGGCGTTTATTGTTCCACCCAAAAAAAAAAAAAAAGTTCTGTTATTGATACAGATTTTTAGGTGAGGTCCACGTCGGTGCAACGTACGTCTTCTTCTTTAAGTTTTTGTTGCCTACACATAAAATTTAGCACCAATTTATTGATATGCCGATTGCACTTTGATGTTTAAATTAAAACTCAAATTGAGAACAAATGGATACGGAGCAGGATGAAAGTCGAGAGTGTATACCAAATTCTCACAAGAGGTCGTGTAAGGAAAATGTGGTAGCGTTGTTCATGGGTCCTCTATCAACGTTCTGTGTCATTTTCATGCTAGTGCAGAGTGGTGCGGCGACATCTAAGGTATGCTCTTCACACCGTGACATATACTTGTTGGGTGAGTTTGTTAACGCCTCTAATTGTGTTGAGGGCATCCATATGGTGCACTCGACTTGCCTTTTCGGTTGCTCAACATCCTTCTGTCAATGCACTCGAAGTTGTCTCGATGCCCATGTCCACTTTATGGGTAGAGGAGGGCTCGACGTGTTTTTGCGAGGTATCTGCAGGTGGCACCTAATGACTTCCCCTCAGCGACTGAGGTACTCTGGGGTTGGCTACCTAATCCAACCTCGTCCATTCTAAATTCATGAGCCAAACTTTGCCTAAATGGAGGGTATATATATTATTTTTTAGTACATAAATGGTTCATTCTCTCTCTCGTATCACCTCAGAAATAGAAATTTTCTATTCCCGTCGATAGAAAGTTTTCAAAATTAGAATAGATAAGCCTTTTTCTCAAAGAAATAAAATAGCTGGAAAATTTTTTTGGAAGTGAAAGGGAGGAACATTCCTACTAACCAAGCGATGAGGAAATAAGAGTATTATTTGAATTGGAATTCAAATTTAATTTAAGCAGCTAAAAAAGATAAATCTTCTCTATATCCTATCCTCTGTAAGGGGGTAAGAATCTTTATTTTTTCAGAGGGTGAAGGATCAGTAACTTGGGACCAAAACATGTACGAGGAACAATGACAATAAAAACTGGACCACGGCTCCAGTCTTTTTCTCCCTCCTCCCTCCTCCCTCCTCCCATCAATCCATCTCTCTCTCTAAACTTCAAACTCTGTTATATGATTTTGGACATAGATAAATTCGATGGCCCACATGCATGACAAAAAAGAAATAATTGGAAACACAGATTTAAATAAGGCAGCAAATTATAGATTGCACGATTATCTAGAACATCTTAATGGACGGTCTGGATTAAGCAGTAGAGCCTCCAACAATCTATGAGATGTGACGATGAGTATGGGTTGCTGCAAGCAACTTGCTTGGAAAAGGCAACAAAGCAGTCTTATCCTTGACCTATTTTGTTGAAAATTCTTTAAAATTTGAAAACTATTTAATCTACTTTCTCTCACTTATTTTATTTTATGCATTCATCTACTTTTGTTTTCAATTTTTTATGGTGGTAGCTAACTCACSAATATGTACTCAAGTTTTATACAAAGATTAAATATTAAATTATAAAATTGATCCTAAAAATTTTGTACTTGATAGATTTATGAACTTTAAAATTTTGTAAGTTTCGTGAACAGATCGGTGGTTTGGTTTCTACCAATTTTCCCTCGATTATCAGTTCCTCCATTTTGATCTTCCAGAATTACCAGTAATTTCTAAAGATTTACGAAATCTAGCGTAAACGATTGCACGACTTGGATCTTAAGCTGAATTGAATCGCGCTGTCTGTAACTAACTAGTTCTGGGCATATATACTAAACTATTAGATAGCTTTAGCTTCAATTTGAAAAAGAATACTCCTGTGTCCRGCAGAATTTGATTTGTGAACTGTTTCCTGGTTCCTATGGTTTCCATTCTTCTCTTCCTTCACTTCTATTTCCTTTCTGTTTATTCATTCTTCTTCTTTTTCACCGTCTCCTTTATTGTCTTTCGATTTTTTCTTCTTTTCCTTCCTCTTTCCATGTCTTCTTTCTCATGATTTGCTTCTTTGTCTGCAATGCAAAACCTTATTTCTCTCCTAAGTCCCAAGTATAATTCTTAATAGGAGGGAGGGGGTCCTTCTCAAATAATAAGTATTTTCATTTTATCTTTCAACCTTTTTCCTTCTTTTTAGTTGATCTTTCCACATTTATGAAGTTGCTTTATGCCTGGCCTTAATCTCATGAAGCAAGATTATCCTGCTTCCTGCACCACAAAGCCTCATTTTGATATTCTATTTTCAACATTTGGGGGTGTTTGGTTGGTGTGCGCATTCAGCATCTTAAGCCTAGAAATTTTAAACCTTCAGACTGTAGTAGATATGGGGTTTGTGTAGCCTCGAGTGGGCTCATTTGACAAATCCTCTCCCAAACACGGCTCCTTCTCTACGCTGAAAATATAAATTAAAAAAATGCACAGCAACTTCAACACGATCTTGGTTCCTCCAACTACCAATATTGATAATATTTATTTAGCAACACAGCTTACACTTGCATCTAACAAAATGACAATTTATTTATATTTAATAGGTCCTTAGCACTTCAAAAAGTATCTAATTGGTCCTTAAATTTCAGAAAAAGGTTGAGTAGACCTTTACAAAGTTGAATTCTGTCCTTTATCTTTCAATTTTGTATTTAATAGGTCAAGCAAGGTTCTAGATAGACATTATTGGACATAATTCTAAATTTCTAGTTCATGGACCAAAACGGGAGAGAGGGAGGAATGTTAAATGACCCAGAACCAAGCAAGAACAGAGCCAATAACCAAACCTAAAACCAAGGAGATAGCCATTAAAATCCCAGCGACCTCTGCATGTTCAAATGGCACCATTTTGGGTGCAGAGATCATGCAAACAGCATCTAAATAGCCACCACTAAATCCGAGAAGGCAAGTCAGGAGTGCCACAGGAATTTCGGTTCTAAGGAATTGGGGCCCATTTAAGCAACCAATAAACAGTGGGTAAAACACCACCCTCCCCACACTGCTCCCCACTGTAATCTTGGGGTTCTTTATCATATAAACTGAAGCAAAATACTTCCCAATTAGATTAGACACATAMTACCCAAAAATCAGAGTAATGGGATACCAGTCCTTCAAAATCTCCGAATGAACATCCTCTGTAACGTACCCTGGAAATATCGATAAAGATACCACGAAGATGATTACTACTCCAAATGCATATAGTTTGACAGCGCTTAATATTCCCCAAAAACTCGATCTGCTTATGGACCCAAATAGAGAACCTTTTTTCTCTTTCTCCTCATTCTTCAAATTCAGGTGATGCTTCACAACGGGAAGCTTTGCTGCTGCATTGTACAATATAACACACACAATTATAATAGAGATTCCCACTGAAAAGTAGAGGATTGCGCTTTTACGCAACCCATCAGAGTCTCGTGGGTATATGGCCTTTGTTAACATCCTCAGCACCGACACCATCACGCCTGCTTGTTAAATTTGGATTCAGTGGTAATTAAGTATAAGTGTCTTGAAAAATTAGTCAATTGGAAAACCCAAATTGTTATTGTGAGTTGAAACCAAAACTTGAAAGGGAATCTCAATTCCAGTTCCTTTTGGTTGTGTGGTTAGAGAAGAGGAGGGAACTTACCAGAACCAGAAATCCCGGAGACAACAGCTTGCATGTATCTCTCCGGGAGTTCGCCGGCGGAGCCAACGACGCCGCTCTGGACGAGCGCATCGGCGACGCCGCACAGCACGACGGCTCCGACGGTGACGTAGAAGCCGTTGAAGAGTCCGACCCGAGCCCTAATGTAGAAAGCTTCTAGGAGAGGCACCGCCAGCAAGGCCAGCACGTAGAGGGCCAAGCCCACGTTGATTCGGACCCGAACCCCGCATCTCCGGCCGAAAAAAACTACCAGAAGAAGGCCGGTGAAGGCGACGAGGAAGTAAGCAGTGGCGAAGATTCTGTTGATGTGGGTTTGGGGGTAGATGTGGGAGAAGTAATCAATGGCCGTTATGAAGGTTGTCCATGGCAGGAGACACCCGGCCCCTAAAACAAAGTATGTTATGTAACCCAAGTTTAACGGATCTCTTGGAATTTTCCCTGAACTGGGCAGGAGAAGAAGGGCAGTTTCGGAATCAATCCCCATCGGAGATTTTTGCAGAAATTGGTGAAATGGAGGTAGGTCCGAAAGAAAGTTAAAGCTTTGATCACTGCGTTCGCCTGACTCCTGAGTTCTATCCTATAGAAACAAATTACTTTATTAGATGTGGTCTTCAAATATCTTCTACAGTTTTTGCTTCGTATATCCAACGGTTCAAATTTTAGAGTATGGTTCCTACTAATCTAAAACTGTAAAACATGTGTGCCTGTCTCTATCATGAAGTTATATGATCTGATTGACACGCAATTGGCTCTTAGTGTCATCGACATAATGCTATATTTAATAATGTTCTAAGAAAATAATACTTTTCAAGCTACTGAGGTGCGTCATAGATCATAAATACCCATTAATATATTTAAGGGCTCTTTTTTATAATTATTTCGTTTTTTATTTTTTGTTTTTGTTTTCATTTTTTTAAAAACAAATTGTTTGATAACATTTTTTATTTTTCAAAAACAATTTTGAAATTAATGTAAATTTAAAAAAAAAATAACTTTCAAAAACAGATTTTTGATTTCAAAATTTGATTTTTCGTGGAATACTCGGCTTTTTTTTCTTTCTCATATCTATCTCTAAAAAAATTATTTCTCCTACTAAAATTTTTTTATTTTTAAATTTTTCTCTACAAACTTTATTTTTCTCTCTAAAATTTTCATATTTTTAATATTTATTATTATTGGTCTCTCTCCAAATTTTTTTGTATTTTTATTTTTTTTCCTAATACACCAGTTTTATTTATCTCTCTAAAAATTTAATATTTTTCCCTTTCACGGTAACTTTTATTTATCTTTGTATTTATTTATTTTCTCTAAAAATTATATTCTAAATCAGTTTCTACTCTAATTTTTCTCTTTCTTTATAATTTCTTTATTTTTTTTCTCTAAAATTTTTCTCTTTTTATYTTTAACTTTTCTTTCGCTACTTTTTTTTTCTAATCTTTTTATTTATCTCTCTAAAATTTATCTTCCAAAAGTTTATTTACATCTCTCTAAATATGTATTTTCATGTCTCTACATTAGGGGAAGACAAAAATTTCCGCAGGTCGGGTCCCAAAAATAGGAAATGCATGTCTTGATCCCGTCTCTATTCCCGATTCCATGTTTTAAATAATTAATACATATTTATTACACTTTTATACTTAAATTCTTAAAATAATTATAAAACCAATAATTTTTCTCGATAACATCTCTCAGACCCAAGAACGAGGTAGAGACGGAGATTAAAAATTTTCACGAGCACGAAAATGGGCGAGAATATCATCACTTGCACCCACATCATTGTCATCTATACTCTACGTAAAATTTTCTCTCTCTAATATGTATATTCAATTTTCTAACTTATTAAAAACAAAAAATTAAAAATGGTTACCAAACATATTTTGATTTTCTGTTTTTCAAAAATAAAAGATAAAAAATGATTATTAAACATATATGTTATAAACTGGCCCAATTGTAGATCATATTACAATATATATTTTTCTTGTACGGAAATATTCTCTTTCTGTCTCCATATGACATCATCTTTCTCTCTCTGATCACCGCCCAAAGACATGAGGCATGCGATTACAACACAATGAAAGAAACTCATTAGAAGAATAAAAAATACCTCTAAAAAAAGTTGAGTGGTCGACAGTAGAAATTCATATTGCCGTCAATATTATTTATTATTTAAATTGAAATCCAATTTTAATTTTTAGTAGCTTGATAAATTTTATGAATATTTTTCTGTAGGGGGTAAGAATCTTTATCAAGTGCAATATCTGAGCCCAAAAGAAAAAAAAAGTTGCATTCTTGGTGTTGGGTCTTTTTTCTGTCTCTCAGATGTTGAAACATTGTTATATGGTTTGGACTTTGTAGAGAAATTCCATGGATCACAATTGACAAAGAAAATGATTGAAAAACACAGATTTGAATACGGCAGCGTATTATAGGCTGCACGATTATCTAGAAGATGTTAATGGACGGTGTGGATTAGGAGACCATCCAACGGTCCATAAGATGTGATTGGTGAGTATGGGTTGCTGCAACTTGCTTGGAAAAGGAAACAAGTCTTATCTTTGCCTTTATTTTATTTTATTCTGTATTCCAATTCCCTCTCTCTTCATCCAAGTGCCACACTACTATTGGCCATGGTGTTTAAAGTAGGAATAAAAATAAATAAAAATATTAAAAACTAAGCCGCAGTGGTCGGTAACTAAGACACATTCTTTAGGATAAAACTGAACTCTAAGCAGCAACATTACCATTAAATATTTTACCATGCATTATTTTTAAAATAAATTATAGTAAAAAAAAACCGAGTGAGGAGCGAGGGTTRTGCTTCAGTTTTTCAATTTTGTTTGAKACAATWYTGGGAGCGCTGTTTTAGAAATTTATTTATCTAAAATTTTTTAATTTTACACTTTTAGATTTCTGTAGGTAGGATTTTGTTTTAATTTCGATTTTACCCTTATTTATTGTATTTATATTTATTATAATTAATCTTTTATTTAAATGCAAAAGATTAATATTCCAAATTTGATTTCGTAAACATTAAATTTAATATATTATACTAAAGAAAATTTATTACAAAATATTCAATTATTATGGTAATCCCCAAATTTACTCYTTAATATATTATACTAAATAATGAAATTTAATACAAATTTTTTTTTATTTCATTACAATTTTGGGCCAAATTTCAATAATATAGTCGTTATGACATACACTTATATGGAAATATATATTTATATAGAGATATAAACTATATCCGACTACATTTTTATTTATATGGAAATATAAATTATATCCAGCTRTAAACTTAAAGCAACATACACTCAACAATGGTGATATAAACTATAATCATTATAACATACACTTATATAGAGAGATAACCTATATCTAGCTATAAAGTATATACAACTATATCCCTCTACAATTAAYAAAGAAAGCAAATAACTTACAAACCTTCCGGTCGGTGACTAGACAATGGTTGGAATAAACGGAGGACTCAAATGGTCGACGGGCGGCCGGAGACAAAAAAGAAATCTCGGGATAAACGGACGGAAACAATGGACGGRTGACTGGAGATGAAGGAGAAGCTAGACAGACTATTCCGACAACGAAGAAGAACAGAAACGGCAGCCAGAGATGAAGGAACGCAGACGGCGGCCGGAGATGAAGGAATKGACGGAAACAGAACGATAGAGGAAGAAGAAAGGTCAGAGGAATGAGGTTTTAGAATTTTTTTAATAATAGAGGATTTTGGGGATTTGATATTTTTTACTTTTGGAAAGTCTAATGAGGAGGAATTTAAAATGTAACCCACTAAGTAACCAATTTTGAATTTTAAAAATTAACTARTATTGAGGTGAGATACAAAAGGATATATTAGTAAATTGGGTGATGGTACATCCTATGGRATTGTTTCATGTGTAAATTTTATACAATTCAATCATTGTATGTAATTATAGTTTCTAAATAGACTATCAATTTACTCATGCTATTTTGTTTCTATTATTTTCCTTTGTAAACGGAGAACCAGAGTTCCATTCACAATCATACGCTTAAGCTGGATTGGCCCAATTTTGAAAACAAAACTTGGAGCACGTTGGGTAAAATTTCTATCCCTTGTTTTCTGTTTTTTGTTTTTTTTAATGTATTAGTTCTTCTTTTTTTAATATGATAATTGTTTATTATTTATTGTTTTTTAAAATAAAATGTTTAATTGTCATTTCTTGTTGTTGTAAAATAAAATTTCAAGTTAAAAAAACAATTAAGTTTTTATATGAAAATTAATTTGTTAATTAAATATTGAAAATGTCTATCTTACATTTACTTTTTTAATATTTATTAGATAAAACTTAAGAGTGATAAAAGAATAGTTAAATGCAGTGATGTTTTCAATCCATGTTTGACCYGTCATAAGATTCAAAATTGTTGTTAAGGGCTTAGGGAAGGCGGTGGCCATTAGCTTCTGCAGTGACGAAGGATTTGGAGGACGGAAGCCCTGCAATCGCATTAGTTGGTTCATTTCAAGGTAATTTTCCCCCTTCTTCAATTTTCCTGCATTCGAATACACCACACCTTCGATTATCACTCCCCTTTATCATGATCTTCCAGAATCACCACTCGTTTCTAGAGATTAGTGCTTATGAAATCTTAACCTAAGCGATTGAACGATATGGCTCTGAACTTGAACAGAATCGCGCTTTAATTTGAAAAATAATACTTTATTTTGTGAGCTGTTGTACTGATTCTGTGAGTGAGATTAGGATGGATTTCCTTTTCGTTTTCAATCCTTTTAACTTCTATTTTGTTACTGTTTGTTTCTTCTTCTTCACCATCATCCCATTTCTTCTCTATTGATTTTTCTCCTTTTCCCCTTTCCCACTTCCGCTCCTCTTTTATTCAGTATTTGTTTCATAACTTTATATGTTCGTCTTTTGAAATGGAAAGTCGTTTGATATGTTTATGTCTCTGTCCCCATGATGAAACCCACAACCTCTAATTGGCAACCTTTACATCTCCTTTAATGATCATCATCTTCATTGGTTGAGTTGAGACGATGGTTTCTTCTTTTTTTTTCTTTAATTTCTTCTCTACTCTTTCTTCCTTCTAGGTCGATTTTGAGTTCCTCTGAATAAATATTGAGTTAATTGTGATACCCATGAGATAAGACAGAAGATTCCATCGAACAACCACAACCCAACACTTGTTTTCATGATAAAACATTGAATTCTGCAGAGGTTTTGTACAACCAAATATAAGTATATATGTTGATAATACGAGGTAATCCATAAACAACTATATCTATGTCCAAGCAATTTGAACAGAAGTACAAGCCTAAGTAATTATACAAGGATTCTGGGCATAAAAAGAAAAATTAAATGACCCAAAACCAAGCTACAACAGAGCCAATAGCCAAACCAGAGAACGAGAACAAAACCAATAGAACACCAGAAATCTCAGCATATTCAAATGGCACAACCTTAGGTGCCAAGATATACTTCACAGCAGCCAAGTAGCCATTGGTAAGTCCAAGAAGGTAAGTAAGGATTACCACAGGAATTTCAGTTCTAAGGAACTGTGGACCATGCAAGCAACCCAGGAAGAGCGGATAGAACAACAGCCTCCCGATGCAGCCACCGAAAGCAATCTTCGGATTTTCGATCAGATAAACCGAAGAAAGATACTTCCCAATTAGATCAAATATATTATAGCCAGTAATCAGAAGAGCAGGGTACCAATCCTTGAAGATCTCCGAATGCACATCTTCTGTAATAAATCCAGGGAAGATAGAGAGAGTAACAATGTTGATGAGGGCCAATCCAATTGCATAAATCTTGATTCTGCTGATTATATCCCACAGAGTCGATTTCTTCATGGACCCAAACACACCACCACTCTCCTGTTTCTCTTGATTCTTCAGGCTCTCGAAATGCTTCACAACTGGAAGCTTGGCTGCAACGTTGTACAGGACAGTACACAGAATCATGATTGCGATTCCCACAGTGAAGTAGAGGTTGGCACTTTGTCGCAAGCCATGGGCGTCTTGTGGGTACATGGCTTTGGTCACTATCCTCAGCACAGAGACCAGAACGCCTACACTCAACCCAAATTATGCCAAATTCAAAATCTGGACACGGATTAACTATGGTTCACTTCGATTCATCCATTATTACCCAGATAAGATTTTCTTTATATTCAATTTCGTTTCCACTTTTTAACCCTGGGAGGATGTTCTTGTTCTTCCACCTGGGCAGAAGGGGGTTTCCTTTAAGATTTTGGTTTCTGGTTAATAATTTAATTTCGGTCAAGTTCTTAGCAAAGAGAGACAGAGAGAAGAAATCAGAAGCAGAGTTGAGCGTTACCAGCAGCAGCGGTTCCGGAAACAACAGCCTGCATATATCTCTCCGGGAGCTCGCCGGCGGAGCCAATGACGCCGCCCTGAACAAGCGCGTCGCCGACACCGCAGAGGACGACGGCTCCGACGGTGACGTAGAAGCCGTTGTAGAGTCCAATCTGACCCCTGATGTAGGAGACATCCAAAAGTGGGACGAGGAGGAGAGCGAGAGTGAAGAGGCCCATCCCGGCGTTGATTCGGACCCGAGCATCGGACCGGTGAGTGTAGAGAACGACAAAAACAAGGCCGATTAGAGCCACGAGGAGGTTGACGACGGCGAAGATCCGATCAACTCTGGTGTCTGGGTAAATGTATGAGAAGTAATCGACGGCGGTGATGAAAACATTCCATGGGAGGAGACAGCCGACGCCCAAGAAGAAGTAAGTTATGTAAGTCAAATTGAAGGGATCGTTGGGAATCTTATCGGCGGTTGCGCCGCCGAGGAGAAGGGCAGTTTCGGAATCGACTTGGGAGTCGGCGACGCCTCCGCCCATCGGAGATTGGGAATGGAAATGAAGATATGAAAAAAAAGGCCCACTGCACTGCGGCTTGTTGGTGGCTGGCGATTAGCAAAAGCATAAGTTAAGTTTGTTATATAAGCATTCTTCTGGTTTACAGTAACTACACATTAAATACTCACATGCTTTGAATGAAATTCTTATTTCATCCCATCAATCAGGACTGATCCATGCAACGTCTATCCTTTTTCTATAAATTATAAGAAAATACTCCACTCTAATACTCGAATTTTGTGTTTACTGTCATTAAATATTTTATAATTTTTGCATTTTTYTTAGCTGTCAAATATTGAAGGGTCGTAGAGACAAGGTTGTTCCTTATTATTGAGAAACCAAATATTTTTCTAAATTATATTTAAGAATGGAAAATATTTGACTCTTTAGAAGTAATAATTCAATATTGTCTTSGCTACCATTGAAAATTTGACGAGAAATATTGGTCTCACCATCGTCAAATATTTTACAATTAAGAAAAAAATAATAAAAATAGAGAATTTTTTTAAAAATTAATGAATTGTCAAATTTTCAATGGTAGTAAAAGATAAGAGTTTAGATTGGGAATATTTTTCTTTTATGGTTCGTTTCCCGACAGTTGCTGTTCAGTTCTTTGGTGCTCAGTGCTTATTGGCGGTAGTTGGATGGAATCTCATCTTTTGCGTATCCCAACACCAAAAAAAATCTCTTTTTCTTTTATTAAATTAGATTTTTATTTTTCTTATTCAGTGTGTGTTGTACTCTCCAAATCTCCCACCACCGTAAAACATAGGTGGATTCTTGTTTCTTCCTCCTCGTGGTTACTAACACGACACGTTTTGATTCATGTGATAATTAGTTGGTTGTTTCTATTTGCTAATTATATATTAGCGGACTATATTAGGTTAAAAACATATAAAAGAAATTGGAGAATTTTAGTTGCGCAAAAGCAATTTAGGGATATTTTATGAAGAAACCAATATATAAGAATTGGATCGAAACTCAAACTTTCACAATCATAAAATTTAAGTTGAAACACTAAATTTGGGACCAAATTTATAAGATTTTATTTGTCTATCTTTTTTCTTACCACTTTATTGTCCAATAAGAATCAATGTCCTTTAATGGGTACCACAGTGGCCTTTTATTTTGTTAGGGAAGCAATCATTATTGATTGTTAAATTTCTAACTTTATATATTTTTTAAATTTGTCAAATCTCCAGGCGTATATCATCACGTCTGTGAAAAAAGAAAATTATCATATTGACTTTGATCGTTCCTTCCATTGAGAAAAATTCTTAAATATATAAAAATTAGATCACATAGTTTAACAATATTTTGGTTATATTATATGTATTTGATTGGTTTTATATTGATAAATTCAGCAACAGAATACTAGAAGCAAGCAATGTAGAGATGCCGCAGAAGGCAAGCGACTTTTCCATTGTTTATATTATTATTATTATTATTATTATTATTCACAAGACGGTATATATAATAGATATAATATAAATTGTGGATAGCTTCCGTATACGGCTTCAGCTACAAAGACATGACAGATTATGGCCGGTGATAACTGGATGGGACAACCATTTAATACGGCGATTTGACATTAACTAATTATTTATACTAATAAATAAAACATTTTTCAGTAATATATATATTTACGAACTTATTTTAATTAAAAGTTAATTGCTATTTTTCTGTGAAGATCTCCATCTCTGAACAAAGATTCATAACTTCAGACCTTCATGAACAAGGGGAATGAATTTTGTGTGTTGGCTATGCGGAACCCCAATTCTAGTGTGTTCGGTCGTCACTCCATGATCTTTGCAACATACATCATATGGGGAGGAGACATTCGATACTGTTAATTGCTTTATCTTGCATATTTCTTCATTTTCGAGGAGGATTCGCACTATCGTGTGTGCAGTAGACCTTCATTGCACAAACAAAATACAGAAACTAATGGATACATTCCATTGTTTTTTCTACAACTATAAATACAAGATGAGAAAAACTAAAATTATCCCTACCGAAAATTGATGGTAAATTTTGATATAAGGAAACTGATGATTCTGGACATTCAATCAAAATCAATATATATATCTGTTTTTTTTTTTTAACGATGTCAAAATCAAGATTTGAATACTTATTCTACGGTGAGACTTTATTGATTAGCTAACAGTAATTACTTATATATTTCAATTGTCAAAATAGGTTTTTTTTTTCTTTTTACTTTTTTAAAAATATACACATCCATATTTACATTCTATGGGCACTTTTTAACAATATTTTTGAAAGCTTGACATTTTTATGCACGTTCACATTATTAATTCCATCACATTTATCATAGTATTGTCGAGCTTAATATTTTACGTAACTTTTATTGTTTATTTTTGACATATCTTACAAATCGAAAATATTACTTTTTTTTTTGTCACTTTTTGATTTATAAATACTTGTAAACATTTTAAAATAGATTAAATTCTACATTTTATATCATACTTCTCCTATTATTGTGATTTTAGTCCCTTTGAAAATTTTAAATTCATCATACCTTATATCAATTTAAAAGGCTTCCAACTATATTACTTAATTTGAACTTAATTCAATAAATAAGGTAAGTATTATATTACTTAAGGTTGAAGCTTTGGTTGTCACCCTTAGCTTGTTGAACAAAAAAAAAATCAATTATATTAATGAATATTAAAATTTGAACTAAAAATTGAATATTTAAATCGATTGAATATATAATTTAATGCTAATTATTAGATTATGAATATTGATGAGTTCTATCTCCAAATAAATTGACAACAGGAGAAGTCGTCTATATCTATTATTAACTTTTGTAATATCCTTTTTCTCTTTAACGTGAGATCCTTGATAAGGACAACAAATTTAATTTTTTTTTTTTGTTGAAAGAGGACAACAAGTTATAGTATAGAGGCAAGATTAAATTTTAAAAAAAATATTGCTGAGTTCAAATTCCTACCATACTTGTTGTACTAATAAAAAAAAAAGATAAAATTAATACACACATGTAGGTACATATACAAAATTAATGTTTAAAATATCCTTTCTTTTTTAGTTACGATTAAAATAGGCTAAGTTAGACTCTTTTTTTTTCTTTTAATTTGAGAATACATGAGAACAAATATTCAACATTCCAACCTTTTTACTGAAGATGTATACTTTACCTTTAGCATTACATAACTGTTCAAGTTGGTGACGAGTGAGAGACGAAAAAAGTTCCATTTTTATATGTAAATATGTTGAGGTGAAGGAATAATTCATAGTAAAATTTATTCAATAAAATTTTAATAATGGGATCAATTTTTATTAGTCAATGCATACTTCATTGATTAATTAATAATAGAATTGAAGTTTAAAAGCATCTTCAAATCAAATTGACTAAAACGCCCAATACTTTTCCAAATACTTTTCGTAACTACAATATATAGACTTCAAATTTCATACTGTTTAACTAATTAATTTTTTTTTTTTTATGAAAAGTCATATTGTTTAATTATACTATAATACCTACATTTTTTATTTATTATTTAGAGATGAAATCATGGAGGAGGTTGGGGCTAAGAAAACTTTTTATCTCTTTTATTGCCTTATTCCCTAATTTCAAATACAGACTTAAATAATCTTATTCACATATCTAACTTCTTCAAGAAATTTTTTTTTTAATTACCTTGTAAGAAATAAAAAGTATATTACTTGTATACACACATGTATATATACTTTTTTTAATTAAAACATATTTACATACTTAAACATGTGAAAACTGAAATTATATTGCAAGCTAAACGAATCTCTACCTGATAGGTCAACTTTTTTTTTTCAAATATTTTATAGACATAGCTCAACATGTTTAAGAATATTTAGAATATTTATATGTTTTAATTAGTTGAGCTATGTCTATAAAATATTCTAAATGTTATATTTACCAAGAATTTGAAGGTGAATGTTAACTGAAGTTTTATTGATTTTATGAAAATAACATATTAATGGATCATTTTGAAAAAAAAAATCATAAAAGAATACTTAAGTCATAAATAAATATTTCACCAGTTTAAATATTTTAATTGTTTTATAATAAGACATTAGTGATATTTCTTTAATATTTTTTATATTTTAGCAATTCAATCTAATTTTCATGTCTTTTTCCAATTTTTATTTTCTTCCGGTTTTTTTAATATCAAAAGCTAAAAACTAATAGCCAAACAAAAGCGATTTTTTCAAGAAATAGATAAGGAAAATGACAGAAAGTTAAAGAGACCGTTGCATTGCATAGTCTACATTTCCAGATTCTAAATATTATTCGTCACTTTCCAATGAAGATGTTGATTTTTTTTTTTTTTTGCTATAAATAATTCAACAAAATTTTATTGTTTTTCTCCATATTAAATAGATTTTGACTTGTTAAAAAAATTAAAAAAAGAAGACTTTGAGAACAGTTTAATTATAAGAAGGAAAGTTATTGATTTTTTTTTCCGTGTCCAATTTTCTAATTTTCTTATGATTATAAACCAATTCAATAACCATTTTTAATAAAAAAAAAATGCAGCAAAATATGTTTGATAAATGATAACATTAGTACAAAACTCCTTTTTATTCTCCAAAATTTTGAAATAAAATATTACTTGAAACTATTCTTTTAAAAGAGTAAAATATGTAAAAATATTATTAGTTTTACTTTTATTTAATGTTTTATTGTACATTTTGTAAGTTTTTTTTTTCTAAAAAGAGAGAGAGAAAAAGATAAAGCAGTACTCTTATCTATCTATTTGAAAATTGTTGTAGAAAATTGAAAATAAAATTCAAATTTCTTTGGTTTCAAATTATGTTTGAAATTTTTGGATAAAAGATGATATTAAAATGCATAATCGAAATTTAAAAAAAAAATGTAAGATTTCTATAATGGATGTGCACAACACAACTTCTCATGTCGTTTAAATTTATTTGCCAATCGGAAATCGTATTTAAATTTATTAAAAATAAATTAACGAAATTGTTATTCATGAAATATTTTTAGTCATCCACGTGTTCAAACTGGAGTACCAAACAATGAAGGAAGGTTGCTAAATTAAAAAGAATTTGAAATTAGATTTAATCCAGACGATTAGTGATATAGGTCAATGGTAGAGATTAAATGG